GACATGATTTCAATTTTCTTGAATTTGGTAAGGCTTATTTTGTGCCCTATCATGTAGTCTATCTTGGAAAATGTTCCATCTGCATTTTTAAAAATATTTATTTTGTTTTTAGAGAGAAAGGAAGGGAAGGAGAAAGAGGGGGAGAAGAACATCAATATGTGGTTGCCTCTCGCACACCCCCCACAAGGGAACTGGCCAGCAGCCCAGGCATGTGCCCCAACTGGGAATCGAACCAGTGACCCTTGGGTTCACAGGCCCGTGCTCAATCCACTGAGGTACACCAGCCAGGGCCTCCATGTGCATTTGAAAAGAATGTGTATTTTGCTTCTTTGGGATGAAAGGTGTGTTTTATACATATATAATACGTATAATAATATACATTATATATATTTATATAAGATGTATAATATATATTATATATTTGTATAAGATGTATAATATTTATATATTTATACATCTATATTATATATTACTTTATATATAAAATAATATTATTTATATATTTTATGTGTATTGATATATATATATATATATATATATATATATATATATCAGTTAAGTTCATTTGATCTAGGGCATTGTTCAATGCTGCAATACCCTTGTTGATATTTTGTTTGGAAGATCTATCCATTTTTGACAGTGGGGTGTTAAAATCTCCTAGTATAAGTAAGTGTGTTGCTGTTTATGTCTTTCTTGAAGTCCTCCAAGATTTTCCTTATATATTTGGATGCTGCTATGTTAGGTGCATGTATGTTTATAATGTTTACGTGTTCTTAATAAATTCTTCCCTTGAGTATTATGAAGTGTCTTTCTGTGTCTCTTTTTATGCCATTTGTTTTGAAGTCTATTGTATCCGATATAAGTATTACTACCCCAGCTTTTTTTTCCTGTTCATTTGCTTGGAATATGTTTTTCCAAGCCTTCACTTTCAGTCTGTATAAGTCTTTTCTCTGGGGTGGGTCTCTTGTAGGCAGCATATATGCAGGTCATGTTTTCTTATCCATTCAGATATTCTATGTCCTTTGATTGGAGCATTTAATCCATTAACATTTAAGGTTATTATTCATAAGTACTTATTCATTTCCCTCCCCCATGTACCTGTGTTCCTCTCTTGCTCTTTTTTTCCCCCTCTTCTTAAAGCAGTCCCTTTAGTGTATTTTACTATATGCTAGTTTGGTGGAGATGTATTCTTTCAGTCTACGGGGAGGTGTATTCTCCCAGTTGTCTGAGAAACTCCTTATTTCACCTTCCATTTTAATTGAGAGCCTCACTGGGTACAGCAGTCTTGGTTGCAGGCCTTTGCTTTTCATTACTTGGAATATTTCTTGCCATTCCTTTTTGGCTTGTAGTGTTTCTGTTGAGAAATCAGCTGCTAGCCTTATCAGAGTTCCCTTGTATAATACTTCATGTTTCTCCCTTTCTGCCTTTAAGATTCTCTCTCTGACTTTAAAACTTGGCATTTTAATTATGATGTGTCTTGGAGTAGGCCTCTTTAGGTTCATCTTGATTGGGACCTTCTGTGTTTCCTGAACTTTTCCCCTCTCCAGGTTCAGGAAGTTTTCTGTCATTATTTTTTCAAACAGAGTTTCTATCCCTTGCTCCTTTTCTTCTTCTTCTTGTATTCCTAAGATTCAATGTCATTGCATTTCATAGTCTTGCAGTTCCCTTAAGCTATCTTCATATTTCCGAGTCTTTTTTTGTGCTGCTGCTCTACCTGGGTATTTCTTTCTACTTTGTCATCCAGCTCATTAATTCAGTCCTCTGTTTCATCCAGCCTGCTTATGATTCCTTCTAGTTTGGTTTTTATTTCAGAAACTGTATTCTTCATTTATTCCTGGTTCTCATTTATAGTTTCTATTTCCTTTTTCATACTGTTTCATTCCTACTCAGTTCCTTGTAGTTGTCTGTGAGTTCCTTGAGTATCCTTATCAACATTCTTTTGAATTCTATATCTGATAGTTTGCTTGCCTCCATTTCATTTAGCTCTTTTACTGGGGAGTTTTCCATTCCTTTCGACTGATGGTTCTTTCTTTGTCTCCCCATTTTAGATGACTTTTTGTTTCTGTGATTCCTGATGCTCTGCTTTGACATCTATCTTCATAAGGTGAACTTCTGTGGTAGGAGTTCTGAGGGATTCTGTGGTACAGCCTCTTTGATACCCTTGTCTTGATGCTCTGGGGTTGCCTTTCTTCCATTTCTGTGGGCTCTCATGTTGCACTAAGGCTTTACCTGTTGGTTGCTCCTTTGTTGGTAGATTCTCCCCTCTAGAGGGTTTACTGGTGTTCACAGCTCCCACCTGTCTTATATGTGATCAGGGGCAGGGCGAAGGCAAAATGTATTAAGACAGTGGAAGATTTGTTACTTTAAATTTATAGGATTTAAGGTAGAGAACAGGTAGGTGATCCTTTGGAGAAGTACAGCAATAACCATGATATTTCACCCAACCTGCCACTTTTTATAAAAGATGAAAAAGAGGTAAAACTCTTATTAGAACAGAAAAAGAATGTGAGCTAGCTTTAGAAAGCAGAGTGCTTATGCAAGTTTAGATGGTGAGATATAGTGAGTAAGGGATAGAAACCTGGCATAGTGTGTGAGAGAATAAAGTTAACTACAATAGTAATAAAGTTCATGAACATGGAGAAATGGATTAAGACCAGGGAAGGGTGTTGTGTGGGATTTGGAATAACAATAATATGATAAGAAATATATGATCTGAATAAAAAGAATAAAAAGTAAAAGACCAAGAGTGTTATTAGTGTTATTGAAATATGAGTGAAGTGAAAGAAGAAAAATTAAAATGCACCATGAAAGAGTATAAAGAAAACCAATGAAACAATGAAATCAAACAAACAAAAAACCTAAATGAAAAGATGGGAAATAAAAAAAAATAAAAATAACAAAAAATAAAATGCAAGTTCTGAAGGACAGTAAAGTGAAATTTGTCTCAGCTGTTGGTGTTAGCCTTCTGACTTCTGGATCTGTCTTTGTTCTTCTCACAGCTCCAGGTCTTATTGTCTTACACTTAAAAAAAAAAAAAATCCTCCTGCTGACTTTAAACCTGCCTAGTGGGTTTTGCTGATCTTCCTGGATACTGCAGGAAGAGGGGAGCTGGGCTCCACTTTTTTCCTTTCCTGTGGTTCTGATAGTATGGGGGCTCAGTCTGGACTTCAATATTCACAAGTGCCCAGTTTCCAGCAAAAGCCCTCAGAGCACTGTGCAGCCCACACTGTCTGCTCTATACATGTGAGCCAGACCAACGCCTCTAATCCAGCTTATTGTGCAACCCTTTGATTAGTCCATGAAGTGCACTGAGTGGGAGCAAATCGCACTCTTCCTCCTCCCTCTTTGCTGGTCTGGCTGCTGCACCTGTGCAGTCCCTTCAGGGCAGTTTAGTTCCTTTATTGAATTAAGTCTCTCTGAGCACTGCTACCTCTATGAGCCCCGGGTGTCCCCCTTTGATCAATCTGTGAGGTGCTCTGAGTGGGAGCAAATCACATCCCCCCTCCTCCCTCTTTGCTGGCCCAGCCACCACATGAGAGAGGTCCTTGCACCTCTCTGAAAGCCTTTTTTGAGCAAATTCCCCCTTGGTTGCGGACGGCCATTCCTAACAAGCTCCCAGCTTTCCACACAGACCAATTCTCTGACCAGTCCAGAGACTATCTGTGTCACAGCCAATTGTAGCCCATATATTCTCCCATCTCCAGGTGTCACCTGGCTCCCCAGTTTCTCTGGTACTGTCCCAGCCAGCGACCATAGTCCCTGCCAGGTATGCGCCAGCTGTCTCTTACTGCATCTTTATCAACCCAGTGACTTGAAACATTCAGCTCTCCCCCACTCTGGGAGGGGAGTGAGGTAGGAGGGAACTGCTAAGTTATAATCGCTAACCCAGCTCTCCAAAACTCCAGGGGCAGCCAACGTCTCTAGCGCAAGGACTGGGGACCTCCCCATCAAGCTACAAAATCTTACTGTCCTCTGCAACCTTTGGCTTCCAAACTTCCTGTCAGCTGTTGGCTGTTCACTCTGTTCTTTGGGAGATCAGTTAGGAGTCCCAGTTGGGTGAATGAGCAAATGGGTTCCAATCCCACCTACCTCACTGCCATCTTCCCCCTGCCTAAATTGGTTGTTATCCTTCTTTTGGTTGTGTGAGGAAGCTAAGCATTTCTACTTGTGCCTCCATCTTGGCCAGAACAGCTGAGTTGTTTCTCATTTAATACTCATAACAATTTTATAAGAACCAACTTGGAGGGTTTCAGTGGCTTGCCCAAGGTCCCTCACTAGTAAGTGACACTGCCCATATTCCAAACCCAGTCTCTGTGAACTCATCAGTCTGCTGTTTCTAGTATTTAATATTAATCAGGCAATAAATTAATCATTTATAACTTCTCACAATGAAGCCAACTTTGTTCCACTTCATCCTTTCTGCCATAAGCATATATTATGCTCAGTGATGTCAAGGTACTCACTGTGGACCAGCAGACTAAAAACTAAATCCATGAAAGATATGTTCTCAGTGGGAATAAAAGTCATTTGATAAAGTTCAAATATAAAAGCAATAAATGAAGGGGAGAGTAGTGGGGAGGGATGGGGACAACTGTAACTGGACAACAGTAAAAATATAAAATCTATATTTTAGAAAGCACAAAATGAATATAACATCACTAATTTCTCTTCATTATATTAGAGCCTTAGGTTGGCAAATTATGGCCATAGGAGCACATGCCTGTTTGTATAAATAAAGTTTTATTGGAACACTCATTTTCATATTTCTATGCCTGCTTTTGTGATATGATGGCAGAGTGGAATATTTATGATTTAGACTATTTGGATTGCACAACCAAAAATACTACTTGGCCTTTAACAGAAAGTTTGACCCCTATGCTAGACAATCCAACATTATATTTTGTGTAAAAAGTGTAATTTACCCTCCTATGTAAAAAGTGGCTAAATATATACCTATCACCAGTCTTAACAGCATAAAAATGTCAAAAACTTTGCTTTACCATAAAGGTTTTCCTTCTTCAACAAAGAATTGAGTTGGTCCATAGAGTTGAAGATGAGAATGGACTCTACTGATGCTCTGTATCGTCCAGAATGCTCAGTGTTGACATTCAGCCCCAGGCTTTGACTTCCTTGGCCCATCTCTATCCCTTCCAGGAGTGGAAGCTCGTGAGGAAGAAAACTGGCAACTATGCTGTGAAGGGTTGGCTCCTCAGAATCTGGATCTAATAACCAGCATGCCACCTGAAAAGATAGCAATCAGTATGGTGTTTTTTTTTTTCAAAGAAATTTCTGCATCCTTAGGTTAAAAGGGAAAAAAGAAAGCTCATTTTCACTTAATACTTTTCAGTGGTCTTCCTATGAGAACAGAAGGATAATTGTGCCAGGACTCATTTTTGGTATCAATAAGAGCAGCTGCCTTCAAAGAAGGAAAACATATAACTTTTCCATTACTGCAATGCTTCTGCTGACATAGTGCTGCAGTAGACTTAAAACCAAGTGCCTCTTGGGAACAACTAGAGTAACGTTCAATAGAGAACTGGATAAAGAAGATGTGGGACATACACATACAATGGCATACTATTCAGACATAAAGAAAGATAAAATACTGCCATTTGCAACAGCATGAATGGACTTTTAAATATTATGCTAAGTGAAATAAGTCAGTCAGAAAAAGCTAAGAAGCTTTTTCACTCATGATTTCGTACACATCACATATGATTTCGTACAATCATTCACATATGATTTCACTCATATGTGAGATGTAAAACTGAACCATAGACACAGATAACAGTATGGTGGTTACCAGTGGGAAGGGGGTTTAAGGATAAAGGGGGCCACGTATATGGTGATGGAAGATGGTTTGACTTTGTGTGGTGGGCACACAATGTGATATACTACTGATCACGTACCACGGAAATCTACACCTGAGACCTATATAACTCTTATTAACCAATGTCACCCAAATAAACTTAATTAAAAATTTATAATTAGAAAAACAAAGTGCCTCTCAACTAACTGAAACCATGTCTCTGAAAATGCAGATGGACTCTTCTCCACTAAGGCTGACGTGGGCCAAGCTACTATAATAAAGATGGACCTACATACTTTCAGGTTTGTTTAATTCTTTCAACATCGGAAGAGGTGAGACATAAATGTTTTATCATTAAAAGTTCATATCCAGAGTTTTAGAAAGCCTCTGGCTTTCCCCCCAGGATGAGGGCCTATTACCAATGATCATCCAGCTGGTCATTTGATTGTTATTTTTAGCTTCCCAATGAGACTAGATCTAGCAGAACAAAACTAGATTTAGAATAAGGAAACCTAAGCCCAGTTCATAATTCTGACAATTACTATATGGCTCAGTTACTTCTTTTGTAGGTTAAGGATATAGTTTTATAGGGGGGTAAAATATTGTGAATTATAGTAAAAAATATAAATATCATCTTTGTCCCCAGTCCCCAATGTCTAGCACAGAGCTTCCAATACCTTTGGAATTTTCTTAAGTGACAAGAAATATAGAAGTGTCTTTTGTTATATTAATAAGGTGACTTTTGGAATGCCCCTAAGTTTCCAGAAGATGGAGGGCAGAAGGGGCTAGAAAGTAAATTTATCACCAATGGGCAATGACTTTTTAAAAGATTTTATTTATTTATTTTATAGAGAAAAGGGGAAGAGAGAGAGAATAGGAGGGAGAGAAACATCAGTCAGCTGCCTGTAATGCCCCCAGCCAGGGACCTGGCCCATAACCCAGGCATGCACCCTGGAAATCGAACCAGCGACCATTCAGTTCACACGCCAGTATTCAGTCCACTGAGCCACAGCAGCCAGAGCTAGGCTGATTTACTCAATCATGCCTATGTAATGACTCCTCCTTAAAAACACAAAAGGAGGAGGTTTGGAGAGCTTTGTGGTTGGCTAACACATAGAGGTGTTGACAGAGGCCATGGGAGCTCCTGGCCCCTTCCCACATACTGCACCTACATAAGTCTTCACCTCTGTTGATTTGTATTTTTTAATATCCTTTGTAATAAACTGGTAATCTAGTCAGTAAACTGATTTCCTGAGTTTGAGCTTCTCTAGCAAATTAATCAAACTAAAGGAGGTGGAAACCTGTGATTTAGATGGTAAGTCAGAAGCACAGATAACAACCTGGGCTTGTGGCAGGCGTGTGAAGGACTGGCAAGATATCTTGTAGGACTAAGCCCTTAACTTGTGTCAGAACAGAGTGGAACTGTAGAACACTCAGCTCGTAGTCAAAGAATTGTTGGAGGTATGGGACACCTCCCCCAACCATATTTGAAACTGGTGATCAGAACTCTTTCAGGAGGTACTATAAAAGTTGGCAAGTGTTTCTTATAAAAGTAAGATTTTATAAAACAATAGCTCATCTTCTTACATCAAGTGTTCTGATTCACAATTTACAAAACAATTATGGAATATTTCAAGTAGTTTATGCAAAAGTGCTATATAACTCTGTGATGATGCTACTGTAGTTTTAATAAACTCATATTACCCATATTCTCATTTTAGATTCTATAAGATCAAAATTATGTGACAACCACCCTGGACTGGTGGCTCAGTTGGTTGGAGCATTGTCCCACACACCAAAAGGTCGCAGTTCGATCCCCGGTCAGGGTGTGTACAAGAGGCAACCTATTAATGTTTCTCTCTTATATCGATGTTTCTCTCTTTCTCTCAGTCGGTCTCCTTTCCTCTCTCTAAAATCAATAAACATATCCTCAGGTGATGGTTAAAAAATATTATGTGACAACCTTTTATATCCAATTGAGGTCAGTTTAGAAACTACATGGCATTTGGGGGGATGGAGGAAGGTAGAAGAGGGTAAAGGGGGGTAATAAGTGATGACAAAAGGAGACTTGACTTTGGGTGATGAACACACATTACAGTACAGATGATATATTACAGAACTGTACACTTGAAATCTGTATAATTTTAGTAATCAATGTCACCACAATAAATTCAATAAAAAACTTAAGAAACAACATAGCATTTATCACATGTAAACTGGGCCCGGCTTGAAGTATAGAAAATGATAGCATCTTTAGTTTATCTGACACTGCTTTTGAAAATCTTTGCCATAAAAGCTGAGGAAACTAAGAAATTAAAAATTATTGTATTAATGATTATAGTTTTAATTACAACCAAATACAGTCAGTCCTCATTTAACATTGTCCATAGTTCTTGCAACTTTAAGCAAAATGACCATAACAAAACTAATATTACCATAGGCTAATCAATATAAATATGAGTTAAGTTCCTATGATGTAGAATGATAGACATTATTTGAGGATGTGCTGTAGTATTATATCTCAACTCAATATTAATATTCCACAAAAAATATCCCTTTGTGGGCTACAATATTGTAAATAAATGTCTTCCAAAAATGCAACATAGTGTTAAGTGTATATTACAACAACATAAGTTACCCTTTCCTTAAAAACGCAGTCATCATTATGAAAAGCAGACCATACTTTGGTCCTATATAGGAAAGTTCTCAAGGGGTGAGCTAGTAAGGTGATTTGTCTCCATGCTAAATGACCCCAACTGCTATTCCTCTGGGCATCTCACAGCTATACACTTCTATTTCCTGCCTCTATTCTCAGGGATAGTTGAAACATCCTGTTATTGTATACCTAAATCAGACAGTTCTCCTTTCATTTTTTTTTTTACTGAATTTTTAACTTAAATTTTATTTTTAGAGCATCTTTAGTTTCATAGTAAAATTGAATGGTATGTACAAAGATTTCCCATATACTCTTTGCCCCTACCCCACACAACATCCTCACTATCAACAACCCATATCAGATTGAAATATTTGTTATAACTGATGAACCGACACTGACACATCATTATCACCTGAAATCCATAGTTCACATCAGGGGTTATTTTTGGTCTTACACATTCTGTGGTGTGATAAACGTGTAATAGCATGCATCCACAGAGCCTCACAGAACCCTGCGTTGTGCCTATTCATCTCCCCCTCTCCCTAACCCCTGGAAACCACTCATTTTGTTACGGTCCTTATAATTTTATCTTTTCTATATTGTTGAAATCATACAACGTATAGCCTTTTCAGATTGGCTTTTTTCACTTAGTAATATGCATTTGAGCTTCTTCCATGTCTTTGCATAGCCTGACAGCTCATTTCATTTTAGTGCTGAAAAATAATCCACTGTCTAGATGTCCCACAGTTTACTCATCCATTCACCTACTGAAGGACATCTTGGTTGCTTCCAAGATTTAGCAATTATGAATAAAGCTGCTATAAACATCCGTGTGAAGCTTTTTCTTTGGATGTGTCATTTCTAATATGCTATAAGACAGAAAACTTAGAACACACAACTAAAATAAAAATTTAAAAAATTGCTGAGGAAAAATACAAACTTTAGTGCTCGGCATTTGTGACATCTCTATTCTTAGCTACACTTGAGGCATATGGTGCCTAACTCTGTGTTCTAAGTGGGTGGGATTACTCGGGAAAGGAGTAACTACCCTATAAAATTGAAGCTGCAGGGTTGGAGGTAAATAAATATCAAGTCATTTAAAAATTAGCCCTAAATGTTAAAAAATTAAGTATGTAAAAATTAAATAAGACATAGAACCTTAGGATCTTCATAACTTTGTTCCAGGGAGATACCACAAGACAGAAGAAGAATTTTATAGCTCTGGATGAAGTCATAGATGATAACAGTACGTTCCTTATCAGATTCCTTTGGGAAGCAGGACTGAAGGTGCCACATTCTGTCCTTCACAGTCAGATTTGGATCCAAAGAGGGTGGGACCAAATTAGCACCAATTTCTTAAAAGAAATAAAAAAGTCTTAAGGTAAAAATCACATGCATTCACATGAAACAGCAATCTATAATGCAAAAACTGAAAAAGACTCAAAGTCTAGTTCCATATAACCAATAGTTCAGCATGACCTTATCCAGGTCATGTCGGCTATGTAGATAAAGCTTCACAATCCAAAAATTGTGGTTTGAATTAGGTGATTTATAATGCTTTATTTATTTAGGTGGAAGAAAATTCTAAAAATCAAGTTTTTAAAAAATAAATTTACATTTCTCAGAATGAGGAATTAAAGACAAAAAAAAGGTACCTTAAAATGAATTTTAGCCCTGGCTGGCGCAGCTCAGTGAATTGAGTGTGGGCTGTGAATCAAAGTATCGCAGGTTTGATTCCTAGTCAGGACACATGCCTGGGTTGCAGGCCATGGCCCCCAGCAACCACACATTGATGTTTCTCTCTCTCTCTCTTTCTCCCTCCCTTCCCTCTCTAAAAATAAATAAATAAAATCTTTTAAAAAATGAATTTTAAAGGAACTCCTTTTAAAGGGAGATTTAGTAGAAATATATAATATTATATCTTTAAAAAATAGTAGTTCAAGTAACTACTCACCCTAACATATTTTCCTGAAAACACTTGAAAATATTTCATGCTTACTCAGGAATAAACATTATATGGCATCCTATAAAATGTTTCCTTTTCAGTCAGCAAGGTATCCAACAACCATAATCACAAGGTATTTCCAGAATGTATCTTTTTAATTCCAAAGACTTCTCCTAGGCTGTGTGATTCAACTACTATAGATATCTTGCTCATCACTGCCTCTAGATGAGCTCTAGACCCAGTCAAAAGGAGGGAAGAAGTCTGAAAAGAAACTACTATGATCCAATCTTCAAAAACAAACCCTCAAGATGGTCAGAGAGTCCCTGATGCTCCTCTACCCACAAGAAGAAAACACAGTATTAGTAGCTACTTCCATGTGACAAGCTGGAGAGAGTAAGGGTTGCATTTCTTAAAATAGTCATTATAGTTAATATACAAAGTAATATACACACTACAGCCACTATCAAAAACTCAATTCTAAAAATAAATTCTTAGTAAATATTAAGTAATTATTCTTAACAAAGAAGTCACTACCTCACAGAGGCTACATTAAAATGATGAATTGGCCAACTGGTGATTACATACCAGAATCCTTTTGTTCCCTCTGCAATGAAATATAATAGGCTTCTCTTCCACCCCAGCACACAGCCAGTCCAATCACCAAGATATTATTACAACCTTTAACAGGCAATCCGTCATTTCTAATAGGAGTTTCCTGAGGTGACCTAACTAAGTAAATCAAAAGTGAAATAGTTAAAAATCTCTAAAAATAACACCATTAAACTGAACATTAAAACAATGATAATAATTTCATAAGCCAGGCAAGTGAGAGAAAAGTACCATATGATCTCACCTATAAGTGGAACCTAATCAAGAAAACAAACAAGGGAGCAAAATACAACCAGAGACATGGAAATAAAGAACAAACTGACAGTGTCTAAAGAAGGGGGGGGACGCAAGGGGGGAAAGAAGGGGAAGGGTCAAGTCAAAGAACATGTATAAAGGACCCTGGCCAAGGACAACAGAGGCAGGAAGAGGACTGAATGTGGGCAGAGCAGGAGAGAGCAATGGGGGGGAAATGGGGACAATGTAATTGAACAACAATAAAAAAATTAAAAAATAAAATAATGCATCTCCGATTTTACAAAGACATAGGTCAAGAGCCAATATATTTTATTTACAATTATATCCCCAGTACCTGGAAAATTACCGGCTCATACTTGTTAAATTTCAGTAAATGTTTTCATCCCTCTAACCTCTAACACATAAAATGTGCTCAATTTTATGTGTTAAATGAAAAATGGAATGTGCTAGTCAACACTGACAAGTAAAATCTTGTCATTAACACGTGTGCTTTATGAATTGAAGATCAGGCAGGTACTCAAAACTTAATGGACATTTAAGGTCTCACCTTTAGGTGGAACCTAATCAACAAAACAAACAAGCAAGCAAAATATAACCAGAAACATTGAAATTAAGAACAAACTGACAGTAACAAGAAGGGAGGTGAGAGGGGATAATGGGGAGAAAGGGGAAAAGGTTTTCAAGAACAACTATGAAGGACACATGGACAAAACCAAGGGACATGGGGCCAGGGGAAGGAGGTGGGGAAGGCTGGAGTGTGGAGGAGTTGTGGAGGAGAAATGCTGACCATTGTACTTTAACAACAATAAGAAAAAAAGTCTAAATAAAAAATAGATAAATCAATCAATAAAAAAAACTTAATGGACATACTCATTCATAAATACAGAGATTTGAGAAATCTGATCAAATGTTTGATTTCCACAACAGGTTATCAAGCTGAATACAGCTATTCCCCATGATACAGAGCACTTACTTTCATGTAATAAGACAGGAATATACATGGTATTATCTGACCAAACACTCAAAACCTGGAAGAGCTCAGTGAGGCCTGGGATATACATTTCAATATAGGATTCATGACTATCAGCAGAGGTACAAATTCCATTTGAGATAAGTACTGGAAAATGTAACTAATGTACACTAATGTACTGTATATGTAAAAATACAGTACATATCTGCTATACACTTTCGTGATTATATAAATGAATAAGGACATTATAATTTAATAGGAAATCATCATGAGCACTGATGATAAAAAACATGATATGTACAAATAAAAATGATCTCTATTCAAAATATATTTCTTAAATCTTACAATCATATTCTAGTATTTCTATATTTGTATAATAACATATAACATATATTATGTATTATGTATACACATGCAATTTTTTGAAGAAAAAGTTGTGTTTTTTTTATTTCACCCAAGGACATGCCTATTGATTTTAGAGAGAGAGAGAGGGAGAGACAGAGGAAGAGAAACACTGATTGGTTGCTTCTCATATGCATGCAACCCTGGCATGTACCCTGACTGGGAATTGAACCCATGCTTAACGGCGACCTAACAGTTTACGGGATAATGCTCCAACTAATTGAGCCACACCGGCCAGGACAAAAAGTTGTATTTAATGGTAAAGCTTGGCATGTACTAGCACCAGGCATGGCCTGGAGTTGAAGGTACAGGGACCTCCATGAAGTCTCACAATGTGAAAAGGATAAGGAAGGCAGTCATCAAAAAGAAGAGCTCTGCGGCCTTAGAGAGGGCACAGTCAAGATGGTATAGGAGAAAGAGCTGCTATTTGAGATGGGCATCCCAATGACCAAGCTGCCAAACATTGTTCCAATACATGCCCCTGAACCAACCACACCAACTGTGGTGGCCCCAGCAGCAAAAAGCTTGACCACTATGTCAATGTCCCATGAAATAACACTAATCTGAAACTTCTGACAGGTCACCTAGACTCAGGACCTGCTGTGGAAAGGCTAATTAGAGTAGACCTTTGGCCTTCTTGTAAGGAGGCAGACACAGCCTTAATATTCCAGGTACACAACAATGGATCAGAGCCAGAGGAAAGAATAGTGCTTCAGTTGTCTGCATTTTCCAGTCTCCCAGCTTGAGCTCTTGGTCTCAGTGCTCAGCTCTCCCACTCATGTGCCCTGAGATCAACCATCTCTTATACCAGATGGTAACTATTATTAATCTAGCTGTGCTGAAAAATAAGGTTGTTCTACATGTTAACCCACATAAGAGAAACTTACTAAACTTTGAATAAATTTATTACATTTAGTATCCAATACTGAAAAGTCACAGTACCATCTCAGTCCACTATTTTACATATAAATGTGAAAAAAATGTATTTCTTACCTTGCTTAAACCTACCACCAATAGTAACACTTTTAGAAGATGTTAAATTACTCTTCTTTTCACAAGCCAGTGAGATGGAAAATCGCTTTTTGCACCGCAACTCCTTAATGAATGTTTGAAAGACAGTTTGGTCACTTGCTACATCAATTATAGCCAAGCTTTCTGCACTGCATGAGGTTGGAGTTAACTGTGACCCATCTTGTGATAACAGCAGTGAAAAACTTCTGTCTCTAATAGGACTATTGTCTTTTGCATTATTTTTGTTCTCTGGACTTAAATCATGGCTTTTAACATCTGATGGTGAGCTAAATGAATAACTTTCACCAAGTTGTAAAACACCACTAGTTTTCTGAAGTTTTACAGAGGATGTTCCAAGAATACCTGGAAATGACAGCTTAGAAGCAGATGCTGGAATCGGTGTAGGAGGAATGAGTCCATTATCATCAACTGCACAACTTTCTTTACAAGGCAGGAGGGATAGGGTTTCACCATGAACAGCATTGTTCTCTGGTGCCTCGATCTCGCTTTTTACTTCAATATTAGGAGAGAATGAAGTTCCCTGCACTTGATTTGGCTCCAAATTTGAAACCACTTTTTGTTTGTCATTTAATTTTGTATTTTTTCCTTTCAAACTAGATAAGCTTATAGCCGTTAATTTTAGCTTTGCATTTTCTAGAGGACTGGACACTTTATCTAAAAGCTCTTGCAGTCCTGGACTTAAATCAAATGATGCTCCAGACCATGTGAATGAATTATTCTGTGCTGTCTGAGTTAATTTGGATTTTTGAGGATTTTCATCTTTATCTCCCCCAGTTACATCTCCTTGGGAATAATCATTACCAACTGGATCACTTAATTCTAACGCTTTAAAAGATACTATAGTATTATGTTTATCTTGGACAGGAAATATATCTACATTGTCCAAAGCTTCAACCATCTGAGCAGTGTCCATTTCTGAGAATAAAATAGACTCATCACTGAAACAAGTCAACTGTTGTTGATTATCTTGGTTTTCATACATATTTGATTTAATTGGGCCCTCTGGCTGTAGACACAGAGAATCACTGAAATGGCTTGACACTACTTCAGAAAGAAGGGGTTCTTCTGCTCCAACATCAGGTGGCCGTTCTTTTGCTAGGTAGTCTTCACTGAAACTATCAAAGAGTAAACTATTACTCAAATTCCAACTTGTGTCAGGAACTGGCAGACACTCTACTTTTATATCTGTGGGAGTTCTCTTTTGAGGGACCAGAGATATAACTGGTTTCATAGCTTCTTGTGTTTGATAACCTTCAAGAAAACTATTTAATTGGGAGTCGGTAACAGAAAATTCATTCCCTTTAAAGCAAGGGCCATTTTCCCTCAATAATATTGGAGAATGGAAAAGTGGGCTTTCCGGAGTCAGGATATCAACCGCATGTGAACCAGGGTTTTGTTTCATAGTATCTACGGCCTTTGGTTCCAAATGATCTATATTTATCACTCCTGGAGAATGTTGTTCGCTGGGAAAGGTAATGTGAATCTCATTCTGAAAAGAGCTCGAGCCTTGTTTGTCTAGACTCTTCTGCATCATCTCTGTTGCCAGGCTGGTGTCCTTTGTTCCTTGTTTGACATCTTCAGTTGCCATTTGTTGTATAACTATCTCGGACTGAGTACCCAGGTAGAAACTGTCTTCAAAATCAGAAGGAACTAACTGTAAATCAGAAGCACAATTATTTTTAGATTTGTTTGCTGCATAAGCATCTGTTTTTTCTTGTATTCTAGAGGCATTTAGAACATTCTCCTGCTGGCCTCCAGATTCACCAAATGTTCCAGCTGGTAGAGGTACTCCACTAGGTATCTCAGTGTTGCTTATATTATCTCCAGATACCTGAAGATTATTTGACTTCTTTTCCTCAGCATTCAACTTTACACTATTACATTTGATAATAGCATTTGAGTCTGTATTCATATAACGACTGACTGTATCACAAGGCATTTGTGTCTCTATTATTCGTTTCTGTTTGGTATAGTTAGTTGTCTGTTTATCAGACTGCTTCTCTGGGCACTGGTTAACTGGATGGACATCATGGTGTTTAACATAAACATTCTGGCTTTTTGAATCACATTGTATCAGCACTTGGTCTATTTTTTCTGACTCAGTAACAGCTAATCCTCTTCCATTTTCACTAACCACACTGGTGGCTTCACAAGTCCCTTTTTTACTCTGGGATCTTGTGATAATATGTTCTACAAGAATACCATTAGTTATTGTTTTTCTCCTTGAACAACTTTGTTCTGTTTGTGATGGGAATGATGCTTTGCTATGCTTTCCTTCAGCACAAAAAGATGTATTTTTAGCAAATGGTCCTGGATTTCTAAATTCCATATTCTTATCATCTGAGGTAAATGAATCTTCACAAACATGATCAGACTTAGTCTGTTTTTGTAAATCAGTTTTACACATCTCAGCGTCTTTCATAGGGCTACTGTCTCTGGATTGTTTTAGATGCTTTCTGTATTTCCAAGATTGAAAGCCTGTACTCATCTTTTCTGAACTGAAATTCACAGCTTCTTTTTTTGTTTTCTCAGATAAGATAGTCTGAAAAACTTTCTTAGTTCTTGTTTTTCCTTCATTCAAAGAGGTTTCTAGCTTCCCTTTACTTATATTCAAATAAGCCAATTCTCTTGCTCTGGAAATTGAATGTATTTGACATTCTTGATTCCCATCCTGAAACTGATAATAAAAGGAATTTGTATCTTCTCTGCTTTTACCTAAATCTTGCATTTTATTTGGTGAATCCTTAACAGAAGAATCACTCAATATTGTGTTACTTTTTTTCTTTGATGCTAATCTTTCACAAGAACCCTTAGTTTGATGTATAAATTTATGCTCCTTTACTTCTGATTCACTGCTGGTCAATGAGTGTGTATCAGAATCTAAATGAGGATGTGGATTCCACTTCACTCCCATTTCAACTAAGTCCTGCTTTAGAATTATTTTGGCTTCTTCCACTATAAGGGCTGCTGCTTCCCTTTCAGTTAAACCTCTTCTGCCAGTCACCCAAATAGTTCGCATATTCCGACGCTCTTCAGCTGCTTCTTCTTCCTCATCCACTGCCTTTCGGGCACTATGAAGAAAAGAGAAAAAGAAATAAATGAATGCCTTGATTCACCCATACAACAAATATTTGTTAAGCATCAGCTGTCCTAGGAATGGAAGAAATTGCACTAAACAAGAGGGAAATATATCTGATCTCACAGAGCTTACACTCTAGTTGAAGAAATCAGAAAACAAACAAATAGTAAAGTCTACGTCAACTGATGATAAGAGTTGTGTACAAAAATTAAACATCAGGAAGGGATGAGAGATGAAATTTTTAAATAACATAATAAGGAAAGCCTCACTAAAACAGATTTTTTAAAAGGAAAACCTAAAAAAAAGTGAGCATCATAAAACTTTCATTGTACTAGCAAAACAGAAGCAGTAATCAAAAAAACTCCTGGTACACAACAGCCCTGAACTGGATGGCTTCACTGGCAAATTTTATCAAACATTTAAGAAGAACCAACAACTATCCTTCTTAAACTATTCCAAAAAATTCAAGAAGATGGAAGACTCCCAAACTCTTTTATGAGGCCAGTCTTATCCTAATTCCAAAACACAACAAAGAAAGAAAATTACAGACCATATCTCTGATGAACATAGATGTTAAAACCCTCAACAACCTGGCTGGCGTAGCTCAGTGGATTGAGCACGGGCTGCAAACCAAAGTGTCGCAGGTTCAATTCCCAGTCAGGGTACATGCCTGGGTTGCAGGCCATGACCCCCAGCAACCACACATTGATGTTTCTCTCTCTCTTTCTCCCTCCCTTCCCTCTCTAAATAAATAAATAAATAAAATCTTAAGGAAAAAAAAAAACCCTCAACAAAATATTTGCAATCTGGATCCAGCAACACAATAAACAGATCATACACCATGATCAAGTGGGATTTATACTAGGGATGCAAGGATGGTATAACATTTGCAAATCAATAAATGGAATATATCACATAAACAAATGAAAGACAAAAGTCATACAATCATATCAATAGATGCTAAAAAAGCATTTGACAAAATCCAGCACCTATTTATGATAAAAGCACTCAGAAAAGTGGGAATAGAGGGGGCATACCTCAACATAAGAAAGGTCATATACGAGAAACCTACTGCCAACATCATAGTCCATGGGAAAAAACTAAAAGCATTACCCTTAAGATCAGGAACAAGAAAAGGTGCCTACTTTCACCTCTCTAAATCAACATAGTACTGGAAGTTCTAGCCACAGTGATTAGACAAGAAAAAGAAATAAAAGATGACCAAATTGGAAAGGAGGAAGTAAAACTATCATTATATACACAAAATGTGATAGTGCACATAGAAAACACTACAGTCTCCACCAAAAAACTACTCAGCCTAATAAGTAAATTTGGCAAAGTAGCAGGATACAAAGTTAATATTCAGAATTAATGGTGTTTGTATATACCTACAATGAAGTATCAGAAAGAGAAACTAAGAAAAAAATACCATTTACTATAGCAACAAGAAAAATAAAATACCTAGAAATAAATTTAACCAAGGAGGTAAAAGACCTATACTCAGAAAACTATAGAACACTAAAGAAAGAAATTGAGAAAGATACAAATGAGTGGAAGCATATACCATGTTCATGGATTGGAAGGATTAACATCATTAAAATGTCTATACTACCCAAAGTGATCTATAGATTCAATACAATTCCTTTTTAAATACTAATGGCATATTTCACAAATCTAGAACAAATATTCCAAAAATTTATATGGAACCAAAAAAGACCCCAAGTAGATTCAGCAATCCTGAGGAAAAGAACAAAGTTGGAGGGATCACAATACTTGATATTAAACTATACAAGGACACTGTAATCAAGACAGTCTGGTGCTGGCATAAGAACAGACTTATAGATCAATGGAAGAGAATAGAGAGCCCAGAAACAAGTCCATGTTTCTGTGGTCAATTAATATTTGACAAAGGAGGCACAGGCATACAATAGAGCAGGGGTGTCAAACTCATTTTCACTGGGGGCCATGTCAGCCTCATGGCTGCCTTCAAATGGCTGAATCTAATTTTAGGACTGTATAAATGTAACTACTCCTTAACTAGATGCAAGGAACTCAGCACTGCCACCAGGTAGAAGCAAGGCCCTGAGCCAGATAAAACAAGGTGGAGGGCCGGATTCGGCTCACGGGCCTTTTGTTTGCCACCTGTGCAATAGAGTAAAAACAGTCTCTTCAATAAACGGTGTGGGGAGAACTAGACTGGAACATGAAAAAAAAAAGAAAAGAAATTAGACCCCAACATACACCATATACCAGAATAAACTCAAAATGGATAAAGGACTTAAATATAAGTCGTGATACCATAAGACCTAGTAGAAAACATAGGCAGTAATATTTCAGACACCCCACATAGCAATATTTTGCTAACATATCTCCTGGGGCAAGGGAAATAAAGGAAAAAATAAACAAATGGGACTACATCAAATTAAAAGACTTCTGCACAGCTAAAGACATCATCATCAAAAGGAAAAGGGAACTGACCATATGGGAGAACATATTTGTCAATGATACATAGGACAAGGGTTTAATCTCAAAAACATATAAAAAACTCATATGATTCAACACCAGGAAGACAAACAACCCAATTAAAAAAAGGGCAAATGAGCTGAACAGACACTTCTCCAAGGAGGACATACAGATGGCCTAGAGACATATGGAAAGATGCTAAACAGCATTAGCCATCAGAAAAATGCAAATTAAAACCACAAAGATATTACTTCACACCTGTCAGAATGGCTATCATTAATAAATCAACAAACAACAAGTTCTGGTGAGGCTGTGGAGGAAATGGAACCCTAGTGAACTGTTGGTGGGACTAGAGACTGATGGAGCCACTGTGGAAAACAGTATGCGATTTCCTCAAAAAGTTAAAAATGGAACTGCCTTTGACCTAGCAATTCCACTGCTGAAAATGTACCCTAAGAACTTTGAATCACCAGTTCAAAAGAAACTAAGCACCCTTATGTTCAAAGCAGTGTTATTTACAATAGCTAAGTACTGGAAACAGCCTAAGCGCCCATCAGTAAATGAATAGATTAAAAAAAAAAAAAACTGTGGTACATTTACACAATGGAATACTATACAGCAGAAAGAAAGAAGGAACTCTTACCATTTACAACAGCATGGATGGAAATGGAGAATATTATGCTAAGTGAAATAAGCCAGTTGGTAAAAGACACATGGAACAAACTGACAGCAACCAGAGGGGAGGAGGGGAAGGGATAATGGTGGAAAGAAGGGGAAGGGACTAGTCAAAGAACATGTATAAATGACACATGGACATGCACAATATTGTGGGGACTGACTAGGTTGGTTGAGTGGAGGAGGGCAAATGGGGAAATATTGGAACAACTGTAATACAATAACAATAAAAAATTAAAGTATAAAATAAAATAAAACTCTCATTGAAAACAAATCCTCCTACATGATATGAACTCTGGACAAAATACCTGAATGAAATTTAGAGTAATCCAAAGAAAGTAGAAACTAGAAAAAGTTGAGACAAGAAGCAAGAAATAGCAGTAAACTGTCACACTTTTCATCTGAAGGCAGGCTCCAGTCACAGCCATGAAGGGTAACTTGGATAAAAATCTGGAGATTCAATTCAATTAGATAAATCAATTAGAAGTATAAAAATTGTTAAGGAAGAAATAAAATATCTCCATTTGCAAATGATATGACTCTACCTAGAAATCCTAGAGAATCAATGATGGAATTAATTCAAAAAAATAACAAGATAAAAATATATAAAAATCAATAGCTTTCATAAACTCAAATAATAATCATATACAAGACATCTTAGACATGAGCCATCATTTAAAACAATAAAGATTGAATAGAAATAAATTTAACAAGTAATATACAAAACCATTATGAGGAAAACTTTAAAACTCCTAAAAAGTTATACATGGAAATCTTTTTAAAACTCCTCAAAATCACAAAGACAATACCAAATGCAAAAATATTACCTATCCTTGTATAGGTTTGACTCAACATTACAAAGATGTCAGCTCTAAGTTAGATTTCAATTCAACCTCAATAAAATATCAACAAACACATTAAATTTCATACGGGCAAACATGCAAAAATAGCCAGGAAAATAATGAAAAACTATGAGGGGAAGTTGCCCTACCAGACATTAAAATGTGCTATAAAGTCTTTTATTTAAAAGCACAGTACTTGCTCATGAACTGACAAAAAGATAGTAAACAGAATAGAAAGTTCAGAAATAGACTTTATTACATATGGATATTTAGTATATGATGAAGTAGCATCTCAAATTACTAGGATCAAGACAAACTTTTTATAAATGGGAAAAAAATAAAATTAAATCCAGACTTCACATTACACACAAAAATAAACTATAAACGCACCAGTACTCTAAATGCAAACTTGAAATAGAGAAGAAAACCTGTGAGTCCATTTTAAATTTCAGTGTACAGGAAAGATTTCCAACTATGACAATTCAGAAGCAAAAAAAGATTGATAAAAAAATAAATCAATAGAAAAATAAGAAAAATTCTGCATGGGGAAAATTATGTAAAAAATGATGTCAAAAGACAATTGATACATTTTGAGAAAAGACTTGCAATATACATATCAAATAAAGGGTTAAGAACCCTAGTCAACTTAAAAAAGAAAAGATTCTTTAAAAAGAAGAGACTTCCAGCCAAGATGTGGGCATAGGTAGATACACTTCACTTCCTTGCACAACAAAAGAAAGGATAACAAACAATAAAAACAGCAAAAAACAATCAGAACTGCCATAAAATTGAACTGTACAGAAGTCCAACAACTGAAGAGTTAAAGAAGAAACATTCATCCAGACTGGCAGGGGGGATGGAGATGGGCAGCCAGGGCAGAGGGGATGCATGGCAAGGTAGCAGCTGGCAGACCAGATGGTCCCACGTTTGTATGTGGATAAAAATCAGGAGGAACAACTGAGGAGCCAGCAATCCTAGCCACATAACCCAGGGTCCCAGCACCAGAAAATAAAGTCCCATAACCTCTGGCTATAAAAATCTCTGGGGGTTGCAGTGGAGGAAAGCTGCCACTCTATCAGGAGAGTCCGTTTGAGGGTCCCATATGATGCAAGAAGGTACACAAGCCCATCCACTTGGGAATCAGCAATAGGGCAGCAACTGTAAGGGTACCAGTTGCTTGCAGGAAGCAGGGAAGTAACTGAAAGTGGGCAAAAGCCAAGCAAGTGGCACTGTTCCCTCTCAGACTACTTGCAGACATACAGCGCCACACTGATGAATACCTAAGGCTCTGACCCTTACAATATAACAGGTGCACCAACAAATAGAGGAGACAAAGAAATATGGCCCAAATGAAAGAATAGATCAGAACTCCAGAAAAAGAGCTAAGTGATGAGGGGATAGCCAACCTATCAGATGCAGAGTTCTAAACACTGATAATCAGGATGCTCAGAAATGATTGAGTACAGCAGCAAAATAAAGGAAGAAGTGAAGGCTATACAAAGTGAAATGGAGAAAAACATACAGGGAACTAACAGTGAAGGGAAGGGAACTGGAACTCAAACCAGCAATTTGGAACTAAAGGAAGAAATAAACATTCAACTGGAAGAGAAAAAAAACTATTATTCAAAAAAATGAGGAGGGGCTAAGGAACCTCTGGGACAACTTCAAATGTATCAACATCTGAATCATAGAGGAGCCAGAAGGAGAAAAGGAAGAGCAAGAAACTAAACACTTATTCAAAAAAATAATGAAAGAAAAGTTCCCCGATTTGGCAAAGGAAATAGACATACAAGTCCAGGAATCCCAAAGAGTCTCAAATAAGTTGGATCAGAAGAGGGTCACACCAAGACACATCATAATGAAAATGCCAAAGGTTAAAGATAAAAAAAGAATCTTAAAAGCAGCAAGAAAAGCCAAAAGAGTCACCTACAAAGGAGTTCCCATAAGACTATCAGCTGATTTCTCAAAAGAAACTTGGCAGGCAAGGAGGGTCTGGAAAGAAGTATTCAAAGTCATGAAAGGCAAGGACCTACATCCAAGATTACTCTATCCAGCAAAGCTATCATTTAGAATGGAAGGGCAGATGAAGTGCTTCCCAGATAAGGCCAAGTTAAAGGAGTTCATCATCACCAAGCCCTTATCGTATGAAATGTTAAAGGGACTTATCTAAGAAAAAGAAGATCAAAACTATGAAGAGTAAAGTGACAACAAACATGCAGCTGTCAACAACTGAACCTAAAAAACAAATACACAAAAGAAAAAAACTGAGCAAACAACTAGACAGGAACAGAATCACAGAAATGGAGATCACATGGGGGGTTATCAGCAGGGAGTGGGGAGAGGAAGAATAGGGGAAAAGGTACAGGGAATAAGAAGTATAAATGGTAGGAACAAACTAGACAGGGGGAGGTTACGAATAATATAAGTGGAAAAACCAAAGAACTTGTATGTTGACCCATGGATATGAACTAATGGGGAGAAATGCTAGAGGGAGGAGGGATAATGGGCAGAGGGGTGCAATGGTGAGAAAAAAAATATGGGACAATAGTAATAGCATAATCAATAAAATACACTTTCAAGAAGGAGAGAAAAAGACGAAAATTCATAAGAAACATAAGGAAAAGATATAACCATATCATCTACAAAGATACAAAAAACTATTTTGAAACATGAAAATATATTCACCACCACTCACAATTACAGAAATGTACTTTAAAGCCACACTGAGATACGATTTCTCATCTATCAGACTGGTAAAGTGAAACCTCTAACAATGGGTTCTGTTGGTGAGGCTGTGGGTAATAGCATTGTAAGAATTCGGAATCTAATAAAGCTGCATATGCATTCACCTTTGGAAATCCCATGTGTATGAATTTACTCATCACCAACAATATGGAAATACGCATATACAACGCAATTCACTGCAGATTGTTGGTAACAGTAAACTGTTTGAGACAATCTAAATGAGGTTATCTGATCCTTATCCATCAACTAGTAAAAGCAAAGGATGGCCAGGTGCCAGATATACTTGCTTTTATTCAGAAAATCAGTATTAATGCAAAACTATATCTAACCTACACACCTCATTCAAATTTTACCAATCATTCCACTTTCTTTTTCTAAACCAATCTAAAATATGAGGTGCTGCACTAGTTCTCAAACCTTTTTTATCCTCCTTTAATTACAAACAGCTCTCAGTCTTTGTTTGTCATGGCCTTGGTATTTTTGAAAAGTACCAGCCAATTATTTCATAGAATGTCTCTCCATTTAGGTTTGTCTGGTTCACATTAGACATTTTTTATAAAGAACACTTCAGGAACAATGTGTCTTTCTCAGTGTGTCACATGAGAAGGCACGTGGTCTTGATTTGTCACTAATTTTGGTCTATAAAGTTCTGGGCTTTCAGAAGAGGCATAGCCATGACAATAACAGTCTTAGAATAATATGAAATGATTTTAAAATGTGTTAAACAACTTTTACCAATTAAATTTTTTTAAATGTGTACTACCCTCAGAGGACTCCCTGGAAAGGTCAAGCATGATGTATGGCATATTGTTACCACTGAGACACTCCCACAACTGATCTGTTTTAACCTCAGGAACTAACAGTACATATTTCTAAGCAGGTTTGAATATATCCAAAGATTCTGTAAAAATCAGAGGCTCCAGAAAAGAATAACACTTTTATAAGAAGATTTTAAAGCATATTTCAAGTAGACTTTGGCCAGAGGCACACCCCAAAGTGGCAAAACTGCACACCACATACAAGTTGCTCTTCTGCTCTGAGGTCACAGGAGTGGCCCCAGCCCCACAGCTCCACTGGATATGGCCCTAGTGGGCCCTCTACAGTGGCCCCCCACTGTGGCAGTTCTCTCCCTGGGTTCCATTTCTAAGACTCCACCCAATTCCTCCCTACAAAATATAGGTAGAAGTTGCTGGCTACATGCCCATAGCCATGCTGGGTGCAGCTCCTGTGACACAGGAGCCATATCTCGGGTGGCAGTGGAATGCAGGAAGCAGAAGCACGATGTGAGATGGCACTGGTGGGGCTGTTCCTTTGACGGTGCCCCATCCCTTCCCATACATGTGACAAGTTTCAGAGCCGTGTCAGGCCTAAACTGAGTGGCAGGGAAGAAACACTGAACTGGAAATGAAACTGATGCTTTTATAAACTTAGAACAAAATTTTAATATCTAAAAGTAAAACTCTTAGAACTTGTAAGTGCCTAAGCAATGGATCTGGCTGAGGTTTCATATAAGAGTGAGTTCAGAGAACAGCTTTTGAGAAAATACTTAAGCTATTCCTTGATTACATGGTGAGTCCAGCCCATTTTTGAACTGGTTACAAACATGTACATAATAGTCAAGGAATCCTCTCCTCACAATTGTTTTGAAGGACTAGTTTCCAAAGGATATTCGAGAGGAATACATTCTGAAGTGCTCTTGCCTAAAGAAAGTCTAAGACAAGCCCTGGATATATACTGAAAATCTAAATCCATCAAAGCAGAAAGCATCAGTACCTTACATTTACTCAATCTTTCTAGGGGAAAAAATATGATACTTTTACAAATGTCTTTTAAGTCATGAAATATTTTAAAAGTATAAAAAATTAAAAGAAAAATATTTTAATACAGTATCTATTATTTACATATTGATATGATTTTCCATTTAATGACCCTCTACAGATGGGGAACTCTCTTACCTTTTAAAAGGCACAGCATTTTTCAGAACAGCCTCCACTTCAGCAACATTTGCTCTGGCAAGATCTGCCACAGTAAGAAAGCCAGAAGTATAGAGGGATCTGGCTCGCTGGGCATTAAGCAAGGACACCCGAACAAGGTCACACAGCTCCCTCTGGATGCCAAATGTAAGACGCTTCTGAAATTGGGAAAGTAGTAGTTCCATGTTGTGCCAGCCCAGGCGGTTGGAAAATACTGTAATCATCCCTAGAATATGCATAGAATATTTAATGAATTAAAAATTCTTTACAGATCAATTCTCTATTTCACTAGATATTACTTTCATTTCATTGTTTCCTTTTCCCTGGAGAATTGTAAAGTTCAACAGGCCCACGGTGTAAGTTAACAAGAAAGTAGATACATATTAAGGGCCTACTTAACTGGCCAAAAAACATGCTAAAAGTATTAAATGTTGTCTCACTTCTTTTTTTTTACGATTTTATTTATTCATTTTTAGAGAGAGGAGAAGGGAAGGAGTAAGAGGGTGAGAAACATCAGTGTGTGGTTGCCTCTCAAATGTCCTCTACTGGGGACCTGGCCTGCAACCCAGACATATGCCCTGAACGGGAATCGAACCAGTGACCCTTTGGTTTGCAGGCTGACACTCAATCCACTAAGCCATACCAGCCAGGTCATTTATTTTTAATTACGCACTTGACATTTGAAAAAACCAAGGCAGAGCACATAACCACAAAACAAAAAGCCCTCACCCTTGTTCATTCCTTTCTTTCAGTCTCTCTTCCTTACTTTTTTTAAGGAAGAGAGAACTCTTAAAGACAGATGAGGGGCTATTTCCACCTGGAGAAAAACAAGGGAGCTGGTTTGAATATTTAAGTGCCAAGAAAACTTCAAAAAGCAAAGCTCCCATTGATATTTTCTGCAAAGAAAGGTTGCCCAGCTCAATAGCAAGACAGTTGAAATAAAGAGGTCAGAGCAGCCAAGTGCCAAGTCACCTTCCTATGAGAACACTAACACCAGAGGCAATCTGAGATCTTTGATGCCAGTGAGTTGAAGGGTGTATTTCTCCCTTATCACCCCCACAGCCCCCCCCCCATCTCTCTGTCAGTGCTCTTTCATACATGGCACACGCCTTCACAATACACACACTCTCTAGCAGCCCAGGGTTTCCTTCCTAAGGACTGATAAGGATTTCTTGGTAAAATCAGATCCATAACTTTTCTATTTGTCTAGCTTACAGAATATGGGTTTAATTTTATTAAGCAAAACTACTGATTTCTTAGACAAGAGATAATAATTTAGAACAGTCAGACAGAAGTCCAGAAATCCCTCTCCATTTGTCACCATCCACCTCCTCAATAGCAACTATTAATCAGTAACTAGATTAGAAAAGGGAGATCACTGAGAAATTTGTATCTGTTTCTTCTTGCAACAGGTAGAAGGAAAAATTAAAATGACGAAAAAAAAAAAAAACAAAACAAAGGATGGTCAGCAGGTTGCTAAGGAATGGAAGGGGACACTAAGGTCCAGACACAGCTAGTGGCCAATTGTCTCTAGGAGGGTCATGGAGCCCAGAGGAGCCATAATTTTAGGTGTTTGGATTCTGTGAGGGGGCTGTACAAAGTTATGGTTTGACACAATCCCCTATAATAAAAAGAAGCCAACAATAAAATGGAATTTGAAAAATAAAAGTAATCTTAACTTTACCTCAAACCATGATCTTACAGAAATGTGGAAAACCTTGTTTAACTGACCTGCATAAACAGCAGCTGACTGTTGTAAAGATTGAATCTGCCCACGACTGCATCCAAATTTCTGATTAATTTCCTTTAAGGGAACTTCACTAATTAAATCTAATAACACAAGACTGGTAAAAAACCTGGAAAGTAAATCACCAAAAGCATGATGAGAAATCACTTACGTCTACTATGAAAGTATAAAATAAAAATTAGTTGTGAAACAAGTAAGAACCAAAAAAGACAAGAGAGGGTATACACTCTGAGAAGATTCCTAACAAGACATAGGATTAGTGGGCAAAGACTGAGTTCAATGTTTATAAAGTAAGATCTGACATATACTAGAACTACAGCAAAAACTTAATATATATAGTTCAAAGAACAAAAAGATTTCCTCCATGTTTCATTAAAACAATCTAATTTCAAGAAATAAGACATGGTTCAAGAAATGTGATGGCACAAAAATTTAAAACACTTGATGCACAGTTATATGGATCATCTAATCATATTTCAATAAGTGACAGAATTAGAGTATAAAAAAATTTTATTCAGATGGCAGTAGTGCCACAAATAATCCAGGTATATAAGTCCTTACAAAATTTTCACTAGACTATGTTATAAATAATACTATTACAAAAACAATTGTATGATATTTCAAAAAAAGCTAAAAGCCTATGCAATTCCCCATATGAATCTTTTAATTAGCTCTTCCCTACTGGTAATGAATCACTTTTAAATATTATAGGAGCATCGTTCCTTTCCTTAAAGCATCCTGACTCACATTTTCTTTAAGGAGAAGTAATTAAATGTCCTATTTTAAAAAGGTCTTCATATATAATGGCTTCTAAACTACAAGTGGCAAGAAGAAACTAATATATTAATAAATTCAGAAAGTACAGTATATTGAAAAATTTTGCTATGTGCCACCAGAACTTCGATTTTAATGACAGTGAAAGTGACTATAATAAACTAGCTACCTACTGCATATCTAATACTGTGTTAAATACTAGGTAGTCGAGGCTCCTTGATATTTACCTTTTATGGATGGCCATTTGTCGGTGTTGTCTCTCAGTTCTCGCTTCTACTTTTCCCTTCACACAGCGAGCCAAGAACCCTTCTTCAACTCCCACTAGCTCTGCCACCCGTTTCATAGAGGTTGGCAATTTCTCCCATAAACAGAAGAATCGATACCAATCAATGGTAGTCCAATCCTCAAACATAGGTGTAACCTAAAAGGAAGAAATACCATTCATTAGCTAAAATTACTGTATCGCAGAAGGAACAAGTAAATGTAAATGTCATATTAAAAACAAAAGCCTCAGTATTTGAAAAATTTGTAAATTTGATAATACCTCTTTTATATGCAAACTTCATTTATTCATAAACTACTCATAGCCAAGAGAAAAGTAATAGACCCACTAAGTATACAATCTAGATTTTACAGAGTCTAAGAACTTTACTCACAGATACCTTAATCTCAATATTCTGATGTTAAGTACCTTAAGTATTTCATATGATTTCTAAGAAAGAATCAGGACTTCTGGCCAAGATGGAGGTGTAGGTAGACATACTGTACCTACTCACACAACCAAAATAAGGACAACAACAATTTAGAAACAAAAAACAACCAGTACGGACAGAAAATTGAATTGTATGGAAGTCCAACAACCAAGGAGTTAAAGAAGACACATTCATCTAGACCAGTAGGAAGGGCGGAGTTGGGTGGCCAGACAGAGAGGGGTCATGGCAAAGCGGTGGCTGGTGGACCCCTGGTGAGCAAGGCAGCAGCTGGCAGACCCAGCAAGTTGGCGGATTGTGGAGCAGGGCAGCAGATTGTGGAGCAGGGCACAGTGCACAAGGAAGCTGGTGGACTGGGCAGTCCCACATTAGCACACAGATAAACCAGGTGAAACTGGGGAGCGAGACAGACTGCACGCGCAACCCAGGGCCCCAGCACAGGGAAATAAAGCCTCAAACCTCTGACTGAAAACACCTGTGGGGTTTGAGGCAGCAGGAGAAACTCCCAACTTCAAAGGAAAGTTGTTGGAGAGACCCACAGGGTCCTAGAATGTACACAAACCCACCCACACAGGAATCAGCACCAGAAGGGCCCAATTTGCTTGGGGGAAGCAGGGGAAGTGACGTAAATCCAGCAAAGAGCGAAGCAAGCACCATTGTTCCCTCTGGGACCCCTGCCCCACATACAGCATCACAACACAGCGAGGTGGGTTGCCCCACCCTCGTGAATACCTAAGGCTCCACTCCTCACTACGTAACAGGTGTGCCAAGACAAAACAATGGCCCAAATGAAAGAACAGATCAAAGTTCCAGAGAAAATACAACTAAACAACGAAGAGGTAGCCAACCTATCAGATGCACAGGTCAAAACACTAGTAATTAGGATGCTCACAGAATTGGTTGAATTTGATTACAAATTAGATGAAAAAATGAAAGCTATGCTAAGTGAAATAAAGGAAAATGTACAGGGAACCAATAGTGATGGGAAGGAAACTGGGATTCAAATCAATGGAGTAGACCAGAAGAAAGAAAGAAACATCCAGTCAGAAAAGAATGAAGAAACAAAAATTCCAAAAAATGAGGAGAGGCTTAGGAACCTCCAGGACATCTCTAAATGTTCCAACATCTGAATTATAGGGGTGCCAGAAGGAGAAGAGGAAGAACAACAAATTGAAAACTTATGTGAAAAAATAATAAAGGAGAACTTCCCCAATCTGGCAAAGGAAATAGACTTCCAAGAAGTCCAGGAAGCTCAGAGAGTCCCAAAGAAGTTGGACCCAAGGAGGAACACACCAAGGCACATCATAAGTACATTAGTCAAGGTAAAAATGAAGGAGAGAATCCTTGAAGCAGCAAGAGAAAAGGAGACAGTTACCTACAAAGGAATTCCGATAAGACTATCAGCTGATTTCTCAAAAGAGACCTTACAGGCAAGAAGGGGCTGGAAAGAAGTATTCCAGGTCATGAAAGGCAAGGACCTACATCCAAGATTGCTCTATCCAGCAAAGCTTTCATTTAGAATGGAAGGGCAGATAAAATGCTTCTCAGATAAGGTCAAGTTAAAGTTCATCATCACCAAGCCCTTATTATATGAAATGTTAAATGGACTTATCTAAGAAAAAGAAGATAAAAAACATGTACAGTAAAATGACAGCAAACTCACAATTATTAACAACCACACCTAAAGCAAAACCAAAAGAAACTAAGCAAACAACTAGAACAGGAACAGAACCACAGAAATGGAGATCACATGGAGGGTTAGCAACAGGGGATTGGGTGGAGGAGAGAGGGGTAAAAGGTATGGAGAATAAGTAGCATAGATGGTAGGTAGAAAATAGACAGGGGGAGGGTAAGAATAGTATGGGAAATGTAGAAGCTAAAGAACTTGTAAGTATGACACATGGACATAGAACTAAAGGAGGGGAATGTGGGTGGGAGAGGGTGTACAGGGTGGAGGGGAGTGAAGGGGGGAAATGGGACCACTGCAATAGCATTATCAATAAAATATATTAAAAAACATTCACTTTAAATTTTAAAAAAGTCTTTAAAAAAAGAACTGATATATGCTATAACACGAATGAACTTTGAACATGCTAAGTGAAAGAAACCAATCATATAAGACCATATATTAGATGGGAGGGGATGATGGGGGAAAGGGGGAAGGGTTTTCAGGAACAACTATGAAGGACACAGGGGCAAAACCAAGGGAGGGTGGAAATGGGGGAAAGGTGAGGATGGCTGGGGTGGGGGAGAGAGGTGGTGGGGGAAGCAGACAACTATAGTTGAACAACAATAAAATTTAAAAAATGGAAAAGAAATTTTCAGAATAAGAAACTATACAGAAACACAAAGAACACTAGTGCATTAGTGGTTGCTCAGGACCAGGGGAGGATGAGGAGGCTGGAGGCAAATGAGGAGTGATTACTAATGGGTACAGGTTTCTTTCTGGGGTGATAAAAAATGTTCTGAAATTAGATATTGATGATGATTGCAGAACTCTGAATATGCTAAATATCATGACTTTTACTCTCTAAATGGCATGCTATGTGAATTGCATTGCAACAAAGTTATTTTTTAATGATCAAATTCTCTTGAAAATTTTCAGCATTCTCTTTAAGTCCAAAAACAGACTTAAACAAATAGAGAAACATCTGTTTTTATTAGTAAGACCAATCAACTTAAAAAAAAAAAGGCAGTCAGTTCTCCGTGTTAATGCATAAATGTGAAAATACTAAATTAATTTTAAGTGGTAGTAATGTTAAAAGGTAAGTAAACAAGAATACCTATAAGCACTGAAAAAGGGTAGCAATGAAGGAAACTGAAACTAGCTCTACTAAAAACGTACAATAAATGCTTTTAATTAAAACAGAGGCACTGGTGGACAAATTGGTAGAAGTGTTCTGTTGTCAGGTCAACAAATGAAACAGAAATATACCAACAACAAATGGAAATTAGAGAGATATCCAAATACAAAAGCAAATATTATAAAAGATAAAAATTAAAGGAAAAGGTAAGAGATAAACCTGTAACAAAATGTTTAGTCACTGTGTATAAATGAACCTTAATAAATGAAGCTGTAACTACTGATAGACATTAAGAAAAAAGATAAAAGAGTAAGAAAAACATTTCTGATTCAAAAGTTCATAAATTCAACTACACTTTTAAAATGTTATGCAAAACACACAATAAACAAAATCAAAAGTCAAGAGAAAAACTAGAAGAAATATACTTTTAACTTATACCACAAAATACTGCTCTCCCTAATATATAAAACAACCTTTAAAACTTAAGGAAAGGACCAAAAAACAAAAAATGAGCAGAGGTCATACATAATTCATAGAAAATAAAGCATATTGCCCTTAAAGATATAGAAAAACATGCAAATTTACTTATAATAAAAATATAAGATAAAGCCACTCAAAGTACAAAAGCTTAAAATAGACTATATTGAGGTTATTTTTAAAAATAACCATTCTCACATAGCACAGGTAAAATTGGAAAATGATACAAACCCTATAGAAGGCAATTTGAAAAACCAAAATCATATATGTCTTTACACTTTACCTAGCAATTGCACCTCTGGGAGTCTTTCTTAAAGATATACTTCCACCAAAACTAAACAATATATGCACCAAAGTATTTTAACTACAGCATCATTTACCATAAGAAAATATTGGAAACCACCCAAAAGTCCAACTACAGAGATATAATTAAATAAACAATGGTAAATCCACACACACAATGGAGTTATACAGGTATAAAGACATAAATGAATAAAAAATGTCCATGAACATAAAGTGATTTCCAAGATATATTAAGAAAAAATACAAAATAATGTATATAATGTGCATAATATACTATCCCCTGTATAAGAAAGAAGGTAAAGTAACAATATATATACGCACTTGCTGATATTTATAAAATGAAACAGAAGGATACAGTGAACACTAGTGGAAACAGTTATCTAGGAAGGGGGTGGAAATGGCATGCGGTGGGTAGATACGGATTCAGACTTCCCTGAGTATTCCTTTTGATACAGTTCTTACTCTTGAATCACATGAATGTTTTAAATATTCAAAAAATAAAAGTCTTATTTAACTATAAATGTTTTACTTAAGTTAAAACATAAGTGTATATTAATTTGCCAATGTTTTGAGCTAGGGTCAAGGCCTTTTCTTTTGAGTGTGAGTCTGCTAACTAGAGTTTACCACTGCTTTCTTGTGCAAACCACACCCACAATGCAAGATGTTCCTGTAGAGTATCTCTGATGTTCAAGATTCTATATATTCCTCGCCCCCTCCCCCTGCATTTTCACCAATATGACAGGGAAGAAAACAAAACTTACCAGATAGACAATATGCAGATCATTCTCTAAAACAAAGCCCTTCATTGCTCTTTGGAGGTCAGCAAAAATATCTAAAGTATCAGTTGGAGAAAGTGAGGAAGAAAGAGCTGCCGAACCAAGATGTGTTGGATGATACACCTTTCCTGGTTTGGGGGTGGGGGTGGAGAAATAAAGGATCAGATGTTGAAAATAAAACAACACACTGTCTTTCTGTATTCTATAATTAGTCTTTTAGGCTCTGATAAATTTCACAGACAGAATCTTGTCCAAAGCATGGATTATTTACAAGTGGGCTCTGTACTAATTGTGTGATGTTGTTGAACACAACACTGACTTATTGAACATGAGTTGATACACTCCTAGAAAAATTAGTTTCCTTTCATACTGCTTGAAGAGCCCATTTCCTTTCTTTTTCTTTATTGATTTTAGAGAGTGGAAAGAAGAGATAGAGAGACATCAATTTGTTGTTCCTCTTATTTATGCATTCACTGGTTGCTTCTTGTATGTGCCCTTATTGAACATGCAGCCCACAACCTTGGCATATCAGGGCAACGGTCAAACCAGCTGAGCTACTCTGCCAGGGCCCAATTTCCTTTTACTAATCAGTCACACACATTCTAAATCACTAAGATGAGAAAATGAGTGAATACCAACTAAGAAGTCATAGTTACCTTCTGTTCCATCACTAGCTTCAGTAGTCTGGATGAATTCATTTTCTAGCAGCCACATTACACAGTCTTCGATTGCTCCTAGTTGAACAGGATCTTGATTTTTCTGAATTCCCTGTTTCCCTTCTTTCATACTTGCAGCCAAAAATGTGCAAGAAGCATAAGTCTGCATATCTTGTGATGTACTTGCCACTCCACCAACTATTATCTGATACAAGAGGTTTGAAATTTTTCTGTAATTTTTGTAAAGAATTTATTTATTTATTTTTAGAGAGACGGGAAGGGAGGAAGAAAAAGAGAGAAACATCGATGTAAGGGAGAAACATCAATTGCTTGCCTCTTGTACATGCCCCAAGCAGGGACCAAAGCCGCCACCTAGGCATGTGCCCTGGCCAGGAATCAAACCAGCAACCTTTCAGTGCACAGGACAATGCCCAACCAATTAAGCCATACTGACCAGGGCTTTTCTGTAACTTTTTTTTAAAGACTAATTTTTTAGAGAAAAAGGAAGGGAGGTAGAAAGAGAGGGAAAGAAACTATGATGTGTGAGAGAAACATCAATTGGTTGCCTAGGTTGGGACCTGGCCCACAACCCATGCGCATGCCCTGACTGAGAATCAAACCAGAGACCTTTTGGTTTGCAGGCCTAGCACTCAACCCACTGATCCATACTGGCCAGGGCTCTAAGACATGTAGGCCCTCATGATATAAAAGAAATGAAGTAATTTTTTTAAAGATTTTTTTATTTAGTTAGTTTTAGAAAGAGGGGAAGGGAGGGAGAAAGAGAGGGAGAGAAACATCAGTGTGTGGTTGCCTGTCTCATGCCCAGGTTATGGGGACCTGGCCTACAGCCTAGGCATGTGCCCTGACTGGGAATCGACCCAGAGACCCATTGGTTCACAGGCCAGGATTCAATCCACTGAGCAACACCAGCCAGGGTAGAAATGAATTATGTTCTCTTAAAATATTCTCACTATCTTAATGTAGAGACTGTTTGCTTACTCTTCCATCGTAATTCATTATAAATGTACACAACATCTATTAACATGAAAAGTTTTCCTGAAAAGTAGATGTAATATTTTCTCATCAACGAAAATTCCAAGAAATAACTAAATAAAATAGGAGATATTCAGACTTGGGAAGGCTGTAAATAACCTCATAAAGAAACACAAGCTAAGATTTTTCACATACTGAAGTTCTACCATTATATTATAGGTAAAAAGAACCAGTGGTAACTTAGTGAACATTCTTACCTCCAGAATAGCTCTTATCATGCTCACAGTTACTTCTTCTCCTTCTTGTCTTCGAAGACAGCTGCGAACAGGTTTTAGAGATCCCTGAAGTAAAGCTATGCCTTTTGATTTCTCAGAGTTCTTACAAATCAAGATACTCTCACCTATAACCAAAAAAAAATCATGTTTGCAAAATCTCAGCACATTTCCATAACATACTGGCTACAAAGAACTTAATTGGCTTACTTTATTTCAAGGAAATAATAGATGATAGTGAAGTTATGATCATAGAATTATTGCTAATGTTTTTCTTTGTCTTTTTTTTTATCCTCACTCGAGGGCATGCTTATTGATTGTGGAGGGGAGGAAGGGAAGGAGAGAGGAAAAGAAACATTGATGTGAGAGAAACATCGATGGGTCCCTGGTTGGGGCACATAGGAGAGGCAACTGATCAATGTTTTTCTTGGGGTGACATTTTCAGACACACCTAAACCAGGGACTGAACCCACAACCCAGGCATGTTCCCTCACCGTGTAAACCTGTGACTTTTCATTTTTCTTTTTTTTATGCTAGATTTTTTAAAGATTTTTTTATTTATTTATTTTTAAAGAGGGAAGGGAGGGAGAAAGAGAGAGAGAAAAAAACATCAATGTGCGGTTGCTGGGGGCCGTGGCCTGCAACCCAGGCATGTGCCCTGACTGGGAATCGAACCTGCGACACTTTGGTTCGCAGCCCGTGCTCAATCCACTGAGCTATGCCAGCCAGGGCTAACCTATGACTTTTCAGTTTACAGGATAACACTCTAACCAATGAGCCACACCAGCCAGGACTCTCATGTTTTTATTTTCTAAATTTTAGACTGAAGGAGATCAGAATATGCATGCCATGCTAAAATATGTTACTTTGTGACTTCCAGCCAAGATGGAGGCATAGGTAGATGCAGTTTGCCTCCTTGCACAAACAAAAGAAGGACAACAACAAATTAAAAAACAAAAACAACCAGACCTGCCAAAATATTGAACTGTGTAGAACTCCAACAACCACCAATGAGTTAAAGAAAAAACATTCACCCAACTGGTAGGAGGGGCGGAGACCACCAGCCAGGACAGAAAGGATGCATGGCAAGGCCTGGCTGCAGGACCAGGTGGTTGAGGCAGCAGCTGGTGGTCCCACATTTGCATGCGGGTAAACCAGGAGGAACAAGTGGGGAGTGAGACAGACCGAACAACCCAGGGTTTGAGTACAGGAAACTCAAGACTCAAAACTTCTGGCTATAAAAATCTGTGGGGGTTGCAATGGTAGCAGAAACTCCCAGTCTCACAGAAGAGAGGCCCACAGGACCCTGGGATGTACACAAACCCACCCACCCAGGAATCAGCACCTGGAAGGGCACAATCTGCTTGAAGAAAACAAGGGAAGTGAAAGAAAGTGGGGTAAGGGCCGAGCAAGTGGCTTTGTTCTCTCTCTGACTCCATTCCTACAGAAAGCACCACAACATAGCAAAGAGGGTTGCCCTGCCCTGGTGAATGCCTAAGCCTCACAACATAATACTTGTGCCAAGACAAAGAAATATGGCCCAGATGAAAGAACAGATCAAAACTCCAGAGAAAGAACTAAGTGATGAGAAGATAAACAACCTATCTGATGCAAAGTTCAAAACACTAGTAATCAGGATGCTCACAGGAATGGTTGAGTTTGGTTGCAAAATGAAGGAAGATATGAAGGCTATACAAAGGAAAATAAAGGAAAATATACAGGAAACCAACAGTGAAAGAAGGAAACCAGGGCTCAAATCAATGATTTAGAACAAAAGAAAGAAATAAACATCCAACTGGAACAGAAACATGAATTCAAAAAAATGAGGAGAGGCTGAGGAACCTCTGGGGCAACTTTAAATGTTCCAACATCTGAATCATAGGGGTGCCAGACGGAGAAGAGGAAGACCAAGACATTGAAAACTTACTTGAACAAATAATGAAGAACTTCCCCAATCTGGCAAAGGAAATAGACTTCCAGGAAGTCCAGGAAGCTCAGAGAATCCCAAAGAAGTTGGACCCAAGGAAGCACACACCAAGGCACATCATCATTACATTAGCCAAGATTAAAGACAAGGAGAGAATCTTAAAAGCAGCAAGAGAAAAGGAGACAGTTACCTACAAAGGAATTCCGATAAGACTATCAGCTGATTTCTCAAAAGAGACCTTGCAGGCAAGAAGGGGCTGAAAAGAAGTATTCCAAGTCACGAAAGGCAAGGACCTACATCTAAGATGACTATCCAGCGAAGTTATCATTTAGAATGGAAAGGCAGATAAAGTGCTTCCCAGATAAGGTCAAGTTAAAGTAGTTCTCTTTGTCAAGCCCTTATTATATGAAATGTTAAAGGGACTTATCTAAAGACAAAGATCGGTAAACTACAAACAGTAAAATGACAACAAACTTACAACAATTAACAACTGAACCAAAAAAAAAAAAAAGCAAACAACTAGAACGGGAACAGAATCACAGAAATGGAGATCATGTGGGTTATCAGTGGAGAGGGAGAGGGGAGAATAGGGGAAAATGTCCAGGGAATAAGAAGCACAAATGGTAGGTAAAAACTAGACAGGGGGAGGTTACAAATAGTATAGGAGATGGAAAAGGCAAAAAACTTATATGTACAACCCATGGACATAAACTAAGGGGTGGGGATAATGTTGGTGGGAGTGGGGGTGCAGGGTGGAGAGGAATAAAAGTGAGAAGAAATGGGACAAATCTAATAGTATAATCAATAAAATATACTTAAAAAATAAAGTATGTCACTCTGTCCATATTAAACATTATTTTGACTTTAATGCATCTGGTAAGTAGAAACACAGAAAAAAGCTCTTTACCCTCTTTCTATTTACATAGAAGCAGCATGTAAGGGGAAGGGAGAGAGAAAGAGAAAGAAACATTAATGTGTGGTTGCCTCTCACACACCCTCTGCTAGGGACCTGGCCTGCAATGCAGGCATGTGCCCTAGACTGGGAATAGAACTGGCGACCCTTTGATTCACAGGCTGGCACTCAATTCACTGAGCCACTCCTGCCAAGGCTGTAAATTTCTTTATGATCACTTCAAAATTATATAATTATTTCACCACTATGCTGTCACCTGAAACTAACAAATAATATTGAATGTCAACTATAACTGAAAAATAAATTTGTTTAAAAATATTTAATTTTATTAAATAATGATGGCCATTATGACTGGTGTGTAGTGGTATCTCATTGCAATTTTAATTTGCATCTCTCTGATGGCTAGTGATGCTGAGCATCCTTTCATATGTCTATGGATCCTATGTATGTCCTCCTTGGAGAAGTGTCTGTTCAGGTGCTCTGCCCATTTTTAGGGTTCCTGGTGTGAAGTTGCATGAGTTCTTTATATATTTTGGAGATCAAACCCTTGTCCAAGGTATCATTGGCAAATGGAAGATGGGGAGAGGGTAATGGGGGAAAATGAAAAATAATTAATTAAAAAAGGAAAAAAAAAATTAATAAAATAAAACCCCTAAGTGTAATTTGAATACTGGCCACGCAGCTAAAGATTATATTCCCCAACATCCCTTGCAGTTGGGAAATGTAACCATGTGACTGAGTTGTGGCCAATATGTGAGGAGAATACTACTATCTGCAAGTTCTTAAAAGGGCAGGATGTGTAAAAACTCTTCCTCATCTCCTCTTCTGGATGACTGAAATGCAGATGTTATGGCAGAGACTGGTAAGTACTCATTTTATACCACAGGACTGAAACTATATTACTGAACATGGAAAACAAACAAGAAGACTAGGCCCCCAACACTGAAGTCACTATTATCAGCCCCAGATTACTTAAACTATACTGTTTTATGAGAAAAAATTAACTTCAACCTTGTTCAAGCACCTGTTATGGTGGCTTTTGTTACAGCAATGAACTTATATTCTAACTCATCCAGTCACCAATAAATTACAGTCAGTTCCTATTATTTGTGGTAGTTCTGTTCTATAGTCACCACAAACACTGAATTAGGGAATACCAAATCACTGCTCATTGGAGAAATGCAGGGCTGGCTTTCTCCAAGCCCCAAGGCTCAACATTTTCAACATAATCTTGTTTTAAATGTGTTTCTGTTTCAAGAGACCTTATTTCATATATGTTAGAGATTTATTAACATTAAACTCACAGCCAACAGTACTGTGTCTCATGGCTGAACAAAGCTTATTTAACACCCTTATTTTCTCAATAGGGTACATCACAGCCTTCTTGTACTTATTAATACTATGTAGTGCAGTGATAACTGCACTTCAGCACTATGCTTAGGGGTCACTTTACACAGTTAATTACCAAAAATATAAAAATGTGACAATAAATAGACCCCAAAAAGGATGCCTGTTTGCAACATGAAAGCCAAAACAAGAAGGTATAATCACGTGCGCTTCCAGAGACGCAAATTTGTCACCGCTCTGTACATGTCTACAAAGGCCCACAAATGTTGACTTGGGACATTTGAATAAATTTAGTAAATAAGCATTTTCATAAATATAGGGTCCTCAAATAATGAGGATCGACTGTATTTAGGGACCTCACGTGATTAGTGAAGTTATTCTAAAAGTCACTTCTCAGTATACTGCCCAGCTTCTTGTGCCCAGAACATCACACCTCTTTTCCCATGAAAACTTTCCTTCTTCTCCTAGATATCCAAATTTCTCTTCAATAGCCACAGAACTGTTTGCCGATTTATGTGACATGTAGTGTAATACTGGAGTCACTAAACTACATCCTAAAGGAAAAAGATAAGTAACAGAGAATGTTCCTCCAAAATTTCTTTAATGTTAGAAGACTCATAACAATTCAGTCACACTCAAACAATGTAGGAGGTTAGAAATTTTACACACACACACACACACACACGTGTGTGTGTGTGTGTGCATAATAACAATGCTCTGTTGATATTTAATTCAAACAAGTCTCTTCTTCATTACTTAAGACAAAACTTCTGTTTGAACTTCTGGTAACATTATCATTACTTACTAATTGCAAGGTAGGAAGCTAAAAAGGTTTTTAGAGCCAGAACCAATTCACAGGGGAAAGATGGTATGTAAGGTCCTGCTCCCACAGTGTGAGAGTGCTGCCCTGCCCTCAGCACCCCTGTTTGAACTCTTAGACCAGCCACCTAAACAGAATACCCATGCAAATTACTACCTTCATTAGCACTAACTAGCAAACTATACTGGAAATTAAAAATCATATTCCAGCTAATGTGATAAATTACCTTTATTAAGATAATACTGAATCATTTTACTGTACATAACACACAGGAAAATCTTAATTCTACATTAGTAGAAAAATCAATGCTTGATAACATATGAAAAATAACTTATGTTATAAATATTAAGTACATCCAAAAGGAGGACTTTAGTGCTTTGGATAGCAAACAAAACATGAGGAGATATGGGTTGTCAGGGACAAGTCCAATTTCAAGTGGAATGACACTCTCATTCAGCAATGCCACTTAAATGAAACTCAAACTCACCTACTGTGTCCACTCCTTTCCTACCAGCACGACCAACCATCTGCTTGTATGTAAGAATATCTAGAGGTCGACCACTGAAAACAGGAGTCCGAATAATTACACGACGTGCAGGTAAATTCACCCCAGATGAGAGAGTAGAAGTTGCTGTCAAGACCCGAATCTGACCTTGACGGAAGGCTCTTTCAATGATATCCCTCTCTTCAAAAGTGAGACCTAAAAAAAAGTTACAATAACATACATAGGTGGCCCTTAAACAACATAAGGGTTACAGGCACAGGCCCCACACACAGTGAGAAATCTGCATATAACTTTTGACTCCCCCCAAATTCCTCCTGTTGACTAAAAGCCTTACTAATAATACAATCAATTAACACACATTTTATATATGTTATATGTATTATATACTGTATTCTTACAATAAAGTAAGCTAGAGAAAAGAAAATGTTAAGAAAATCACAAGGAAGAGAAACACATTTAGAGAACTGCACTATATTGATAACATAAGTTTGTATTATCTGTTTACAAGATAAATTGTCTGTCAGTACTTATATCAATATTGTCTTATATGATATAAAACACCATAGATATTATCTGTATTACTAACGCTAGACATCAATAATGGAAGATGTGAAAAAGAAATTCATATTTATTTACAGGTACAATAATGCATGCTTGGATAATGAAGAAGCAGCAATGCAATTGCTTAATAGCAGTCTAAAACAATTGATATGGCTGCTTCATGACAGCCTAGTATACACACTAATAGATGAATTGTTATAAAATGTTTATGGCATATAGTAATAGTCATATTCATAATACAGTATTCAAAAGCACTGTTACAGTATTTTAAAAATCACTTACCTATCATGATAGGCTGATGATACACAGAGGCATATTGTATAGTAATTTTTGAAAGCAGTTATACAACAGTAAGAAAACTAACACACTATTAATTTCATATTAAATATCACTCACCTTATGCCTGTGTAAGGATAAGCTATCATTTCGATACAAGGCTTGCTCATGATGTTCTACTTACACAGTGATGATGACACAAAAACGCCTCACACAGTTCCTGCCATACAGTCAGTATATTTCCACATGAACTGCTTCTTGGCCTTTTGGCTGAGATCAAGCGTAGGTATGTTTTCACATGAAGACACACACATACACAACAGAAACGTTTATTAACTGTATGGTACGATGACTATTTACTAGTCATTAAGTGGAAGTGGATCATCATGAAAGTTTTGGAGTAAGATGAGGAGGAGGAAAAGGAGGAAGGGTTGGTCTTGTCTCAGGGGTCGCAGAGGCAGAAGCGGTGGAGGACGTGAAAGGGGAGACAGAAGAGGCAGGCGCACTCAGCGCAACTTTACAGAAATACATTGTCATTTCTGTGTGACTTTTTTGCTTTTTTGTTTCTCTAAAAATGTTCCTGTATAGGACCAATCCTTCTCCCACTGTTTGCTTTAGATTCGGTGCCCACCTCATAGAAGGGTCCATGCTGTAAAAGGAATCAAAAGCAGTCTTGAATAATAGGAGCCCTTCTGTCAGATTTTCTAATATCAGTTTGTTTTCTGGCACTGCTTTTTTGTGTCTTCTTCTTCATCTTCTGGCTGGGTTCAGAAGCACTCATCTCCAACGAATTTTCTTCTTCAAGACCCATGTCTTGAAACCCTTCACCCCTCTACACACACACACACACACCTTTTTTGCCATATTCACAATGTCTTTTATAGTCTCCTTGATTGGCTCTGTCATAAGTCCTGTGGAGCCCTGCACAACATCTGGACACAGTTTTCTTCAGCAGGAAATTATTGTTTCAAGTTTGATTGCTTTCATGGCTTTTTCCGTAACAACGGCCTCTTCAACGGTGTGATCCTTCCAGGCTCTCATGATGTTCCATCAGAATCTTACTTCCATAATGTTGACAATCTTTTCCATAGAGCACCATGTGCAATGAGCCTTATAGGTCCTTAGGACGCCCTAATCTAGACTGAAGCTCAGACATTGTGCTCGGGGGCAAGTAGACCATTTCAACGTATCCACTGTTGAACTTAAGAGTGTCTGGGTGGCCAGGGACATTGTCCAATACCAAAAGAACTTTAAAAGGCAGTTCCTTACTAGCAAGGTATTTCCTGACTTCAGAGATAAAGCATTGATGAAACAAGTCCCCCAAAAGTGTTTTCACTACCTATGTCTTGTACAACCAAAAGCCTGGCAGCTGGTCAGTCCTGTTCATCAACCTAACTGCATTTGCACAAAACAGTAGGTTACCCTATTCCTTCCTATGTTAAATCCTGGTGCTTGTTTTCCTTCCTTATTAATAAATGTCTTTGTGGCATTCTTTTCCGAAAAAGGACACTTTCATCTGCATTAAAAACCTGTTCAGACAGACATCTTTCCTCCTCAATAATTTCCTTAATGGTGTCTGAACAGCAGGAGCTGCTTCTCCTGTTGACATTTTTTAAGCCAAAACTCTTTCTAAAATTATTAAGCCATACTTTGCTAGCATTAAATTCTCCTTTACCTTCCTTTTGCTTTAAGTTGTCATATGACTATTTTTTCTTAAATCATATTAGAGTCTATAGATACATTTTTCATATAGCGATCCAGCACCCCCATAAATGCTGCATTTTCAATACAAGATAAAAAGGTAATTCACAAAAAATGTAAGGTTTTCATGCCTGCTGGCATAGCTGCTGCAAAGAATTCATGGATTTCCTTTTCTCTTTTAACAGTCCTTCCGCTGGATTTATTTATCTTGAAATGATGGGCAACCACAGCTGCAGACATCAATCTACAGTACATACCAAGGAATTCATCTTTGTCATATTGAATGTCATGACTTTTCTCTGTTTCTCAGGAGCCTTCCAGCATCACTAGTGGCACACTGTATGGGTCCCATGGTGTTATCCAAGCTTTACTGTGCTGCACTAAACATGGTGAAACATATGCAAGAACTGCAAGAGATCACTTTTTACTATAACGCCCAATTTGCTGGAGAGACAAACTGCTCACAAGATGATTAGTGTCACAGGGCATTTTAAGTGCTTCTTAAAATCCTTGAATGGGTAACTACAAAATTATTATAGTAGTACGACATGCATTGTAGTTAATTTTATGCAGGTGTGATTTAATACTGTATCTTTACATTTGTTTACATTTCTCTCCACTCTGAATGGCATCATGTATGGTCTGTAATTATTTCTACACATAACTTTGGAAATTTTTAATTTTTTATAATAGAACTGTGTATGTTTTATGACTTAATTAGACTAAGACCATTTTCTATGGTATTAAAATAAACTAATATCTATGTATATTTTATGCATTCATGGCATACCTAATTTTTTAAAATATTTCTAAGCTACACAGTTCATCCACAAGTTTTTCAAATTGTTGCAAAATTCCAAATATTTTTCCAATTGTTTATTGAAAATAAGCTGCGTCTAAGTGGACCCACACCCTTCAAACCTATGTTGTTCAAGGGCCCACTGTGTACATACATGTATGCATATATGTGTGTGTACATACATTTATAAACTTATTTCTATATAGCATGAGAAAAGTTTTAAAATAAATTGAAAAGGTTAAATTCCTAATCTTAGAAACTATATATTCTTTTTTTTTAAGATTGAATTTATTTATTTTTAGAGAGGGAAGGGAGGCTGAAAGAGAGAAAGAGAGAGAAACATCAATGTGCGGTTGCTGGGGGCCGTGGCCTGCAACCCAGGCACGTGCCCTGACTGGGAATCGAACCTGCGACACTTTGGTTTGCAGCCCGTGCTCAATCCACTGAGCTATGCGAGCCAGGGCCAAAACTATATATTCTTAATCATATGCTTAGCACATATGATCATGGGAAGACCACTTCCTGAAAGAAATTATATAATTCAGGGACATCATAATCCTTGCAATTTTGACAACCTGGTTGATTTTTAAACATTCTACCCCTCTCAAAATGCAATATGATAATTTCTAAAATTAGTTTTTCATATACGTGTAGCAATATTTCAGTACACCTTGAGATAAAGGGAGACACTCAGAGTGGCATAAAATTGGGTTAGCAAGTACAGTACTGCCCCTTATCTGCAGTTTTGCTTTCCATGGTTTCAGCTACCTGCAATTAACTGTGATCTGGAACTATTAAATGGAAAATTCCATAAATAAATAATTCTGAAGTTTTTGTTGTTGTTTTTAAGATTTTATTTATTTATTTTTAGAGAAAGGGGAAAGGAAGGAGAGAGGGAATGAAACATCAATGCGTGGTTGCCTCTCACGTGGCCCCCACTGGGGGACCTGGCCGACAACTCAGGCATGTGCCCTGACTGGGAATTGAACCGGTGACATTTCGGTTCACAGGCCCACGCTCAATCCACTGAGCTACACCAGCCAGGGCAATTCTGAAGTTCTTAATTGCAAGCTGCTCTGAGTAGCATAACAAAATCTCACACTGTCCTCTTCCATCTGCCTGGGATGTGAGTCATCCCTCTGTCCAGCATATCTGCACAGCATGCCCTTCCTGCCCGTTAGTCACTTAGCAGCCATTTCAGCGATCCAATTGATTCCTGGTGCTGCAATGCTGATGTTCAAGCAACATTTATTTTACTTAATTATGGTCCCACAGTGCAAGTATATTAATGGCAATCTGCGTATGCCAAAGAGAAGCCACAAAGTGCTTCCTTTAAGTGAAAAGGTGGAAGTTCTCTACTTAATAAGAAGAAAACCTGTACAATCATGCCCTGCATAAAAACATTTCAGTTTGATGACAGGCCACATATATGGTGGTGGTTCCATAAGATTATAAGAAGCTGAAAAATTCCTATCACCTATTAACGTCACAGCACAATGCATTACTCTCATGTTTGTAGTTATGCTGGTGTAAGAAAACCTACAGTGCTGCCAGTCATATAAAAGTACTGCACATGCAATTATGTACAGTTCACAATATTTGATAATGATAATAAATGATTTACTGGTCTATGTATTTACTCTGCTATACTTTTTATTGTATTTTAGAATATACTCTTTTTACTAACAAAAAGAGTTTACTATGAAATAGTACGCCAAGTTACTCCAACAAGAGCCTCATACATCTTGTGCTTACTGGATCTTGATTGCATCATTTTCTCTTGTGCTTGGGTTGATCACATGTTGTTTTATAAATTTAGTGTAGCCTAAGTTTAAAGTGTTAAAAAGTCTACAGAAGTGTACTGTAATATTCTAGGCCTTCACATTCACTCAGCATTTGCTCACTGATGCACCCAGAGCAACTTGCAATCCTGTAAACTACATTCGTGGTAATGTTGCACCAGTTTTTATCTTTTATATTATACCTTATCTATGTTTAGATACAAAAACTTACCATTGTGTTACAGTTGCCTACAGTGGTCAGTACAGTAACATGCTGTGTATATGTTTATAGCCTAGGAACAATAGGCTATACCATATAGCCTAGGTCAGTAGTAGACTGTATCACCTAGGTTTGTGTAAGTGTACTCTGTGATGTTTGTACAAGAACAAAATTGCCTAATGACACATTTCTCAGATTGTATTCCCATTGTTAAGCAGTGCATAACCATATGCTGAGGTTGCTAAGATTTACAGTAAGAATGAATCTTCTATTGTGAAATTGTAAAGAAGGGAAAAGAAATACATGCTAGTTTTGCTGTCACCACTCAAACTGCAAAAGTTACAGACACAGTAGGTGGTAAGTACTTAGTTAAGATGGATAAGGCATTAAATTGGTAGATGGAAAAACAGAAAATGTGCTCTGATTAATGGCAATGTGTTGCACCAGAAAATACAGAGCCTAGTATGAAGACTTCAGCAAGGAATCCCTGAGATAAATGACACCCAGCCACTGACTGCAAGTAAGGTTTACATATAGAGTAAATAGACTTAAGTAAATTTACTTATCTGTATAGTAACTCTAAACATATTTGTTTTACTTGTGTTTAATCTTAATCACACAATTTCTTAAAATGAAATCTAAGGGTATTAAGTGTGGTTAACAAGAAATCAAACGCATGTAAATACAAAAATAAAGAAATTGTGAGGATTTTTGGAGGGGACTTCTTATTAACGTTATAAATATGGATACCTGCATGATGAAATGCTACTCCCCATGGTACAGTTTTTTTTAATACAGAGTCCAGTCCTGAAGGCGAATGTTTTAGCTGATCAATCACTTCTAGGAGGCCCTTTTGTTCCAGCGTCACGGATGAGAGTTCAGATGACCTTTCCAGTCCTGCCACACAAAAACACTGTCAACACTGTGACCTCCGTCTGAACCTCTTTAAGTGCTATCTGCCTGTTCAGTACAGAGCTAAAAACTAGGGCAGTGATTCCAAAACCACTATGTATACTAATCACCTCACACCTTTTAAAAATACTCATGACTGTCTCTCAACCCTGGACATTGTGATGAATAGCATACAATGTGGACGTAAGGAATTTTACAACCTCCCCAGGCCGTTCTAAAGTGCACCAGAGTTTAGGAAACACTGTATTAGAGTGACATGAAGCCCACAGGAGAGGACTCATGGAACCAGCTGGAAGAAGAAGATTATACATGAGTATAATGACTACCACACAGAGCCTAAAAATCAAAATCCTTGCTGACAGTATGTCCCACCAACAGTATCAGAATCACCTAGGAGCCTAATTTCATGTGACAATTTTTCTCGCCTCTTTGGCACCAATATGATAATCATATTACCTTCTGTTTTTACCTCTCTGTGTAAACCTCTCCTCTGGTAAGGCCTTAACTATCTGCAGGAACTATGTTCCTTAATTTTCCAGAGTTTTGGATTTCTGAACTAGTAAAACTTCTATTTTATAAGAAGTAAGACTTCTTCCCTGGCTGGTGTAGCTCAGCGGATTGAGCGCAGGCTGCGAACCAAAGTGTCGCAGGTTTGATTCCCAGTCAGGGTATATGCCTGGGTTGCAGGCCACGGCCCCCAGCAACCGCACATTGATGTTTCTCTCTCTCTCTCTATCTCCCTCCCTTCCCTCTCTAAAAATAAATAAATAAAATATTTTTTTAAAAAAAGAAGTAAGACTTTTTATAAAATATACATTTTACTTTTTAGGTTAACATTTATTAACATTTTGGGACCCATGAAAGGTTGCCAATGTTTTGTTATACTAATGACAATTTTAAAATTTTTCAGTATGGAGATAATCTCAAAAAATTAAAAATGGAACTGCCTTATGACCCAGTGATTCCGCTTTTAGGAATTTATCTAAAGAAACTCAAAACACTAATTTGAAAGAACATAAGCACCCCTATGTTCATTGCGACATTATTTACAATCACTAAGATATGGAAGCAACCCAAGTGTCCATCAGTAGATGAGTGGATAAAACAACTATGAGACATTCACATGATGGAATACTACTCAACCATAAAAAAGGAGAAAAATTTACCCTTTATGACAGCATGGACAGACCTGGAGAACATTATGCTAAGTTAAATAAGCCAGTCAGAGAAAGATAAATACCATATGATCTCATTCATATGTGGAATCTAATGAACAAACTGAACAAAAAGCAAGATAAAGACAGATTTATCGACAGAGAGCAGGCTGACAGCTCTGTGGGGAGGTTAGCGGGAAGGGGGATTGAGCAAAAAGGAAAAAGGACTCATGGACATGGACACAGTGTGGTGCCTGCGGGGGTGAGGGAAGAAGGAGTAAGGAGAATAAATGGTAATGGAGAAAATACAATAAAAAATAAATGAGTAAATAAATAAAAATGTTAAAAATTACTATCAATCAATATATTTCAAAAGAAAAGTCACTTTAACTTTAAAAAAATTATGGGATAATTTCAGAATTTAAACTTTAGTTTTATGAAAAATGTTCAGCCTTGTCTTTACTTTGCTGAGGTTTCATCATAGCCCAGGGTCTAGTCCAAGCACTAGGATTTGTGAACCACTGCAATAAATCAAAATAAAAGAACCTCAAGCAAAGAAAATAATAAATTTTCTGGTTATTATGGAATATAAGCTACCATGGTACAACATAAGGAATGTGAGTTGACAGAGTACAGAAAGTACCAATTAAGAGAGAACTAGGAAAGACATTATAATGTTGGACTAGAGCCTACCCAATGTAAATTTCAGGCAGTTCACCTGTTGGAACTTGGCTTGAAATATCCATCATCCATCCTCATGATGCCACTGGCCTAGTGAAGTCATGAAATAGTCTAATATTCTGTGACTGGAACTGGTCTCTGTCTGCCTTACACTTATCTTGGAACTCACATGACCATAGGCTAGTAAAATCAGTAAAAATAGACCAGAGGGGAGAAGGGAGGGAATTTCAGGGGAAAAGGGGAAGGGTTTACAGGAATAAATATAAAGGACACTTGGACAAAAACAAGGGGGGTGGGAATGGGAAGGAGGTGGGAAGGGCTGGGGGGGTTGGCTGGGATGGGAGTAAAAGACAGAAAACTGTACTTGAACAACAATTAAAATAAAAGAATAAGATAAAAAAATAAATATAATACTTTGGTAAATGACTTCTTAAAAAAATAATATATATATACACTAATGGTTGTGCGATACACTGAGCAATAAAAGAAGGAACAAAATGATAAATGTAACTGTCTAGATGAATCTTAAAAATATCTTGCTGAGTGAAAGAAGACAGACACAAAAGACACATATACTATATGATTTCATTTACATGAAATTCTTAAAAAAGACAAAACTAATCTAGAATATCAAAAAATAGATAAGTGGTGATCTGGGGCTAGGGATAGAGGGAAATGCCAAGAAAAACAAAAAAGAACATTTTAGGGTCATAGAAATGTTCCACATGTTGATTATAGTGGGTGTTAAACATGTGTATACATTCATTAAAACTGATTAAATTATATACTTCAAATGGGTACTTTTTATTGTATATAAATTATACTTAAATAAAGCTTATTTTAAAATAAATATGTGTATGAACACATATATGTGTGTATACATATATATGTATGTGTATGTGTGATTCTTTTTAGAATTAAAGTTTGGAAATATAAAGAAAGATATGGCTGCTTACCCCATTAAAGTGTGTATGTGTGAAGTTTTATATATAACCTCAAAGCCCATGAGTCCCAGAAGAAGAACCTCATATACATCTGTATAGACCCAGTTTTGTAAAATCTGACTATTAGACTGAGTGTGTGCACACCTTGTCTATAATGAGGATAAGAAGAGGATTAGTCACAAATGCATAGTTTTGTAAGGAGTGCCTGGGAGCAGGTGGTGGCAATGAGGAAAGAGAGCCATACTTTGCTAATATAATCATTAAAGTTCCTTGTAGCAAATGTATTAAGTATGGAAGCTTTCCTTTTTTTTATTGTTGTGCAATTACAGTTGTCCCCATTAACGCCCTGCCCCCTGTTACTCTCCCCCACCCTCCCCTGCCCCCCCCAGTTGTCTTTTTCCATGGGTTGTTTATACATTTCAATTAGGAGCTTACCCTCAGCTTGATGCTGTAGATTGTAAAACTCATGGGCAATAGTATCAGCCAGCTTCTCACACCATTTCTTTGATGGACAAAAAATTAATACTGAATGGTTATCACGAACAGTCTCATAGCATAAACTAACAACATGGTCTTCATCTCCCTAAGAAAGAAAAAAAAAAACCACTCTAGTAGTACTTCAAAACATTTTCACATCAATTTAAAGTCAATAATTTTGCTTCATAAGGAAATTTTTTTCTATTCAAAGGCATAATAAAAATCAGTTACAAAGTTAATAACAAACAATGAAAAAAGAAAACAAGAAGAAAAAGAAATAAACTTCCTTATAATGCAAGGTGAGAAAGAAATATTTTCTATTCACTTAACTAATATTTATTGATCTCCAACCCTCAAACAATGAGGATATAATTGTGAGCAAAAGAAAGTCAAAGTCCTATCTTCAGGGGTTTTAGGTCTCACTGGAGAAACATGTTAAAGTATGAAACAAATAAATGTAAAATAAAATCATTTGTATTTCAAAAGAGAGTTTTATAGATGTAGTACATTTTATAGATGTACTATAAAAGAGAGGTTTGTGGTGTTTTGATGCTTCATATTTGACATAAATTTGATAGAAAGATCTGAAAGAAAGGTTTCCCTGAGAAAACGATGATTTAGCTGAAATGTGAAGTGGGGGCATTATCTCAATATAAGGTAACTGAGCAACAGAGGAAACATTTCGGGCAGAATAAGAGCATATGGGCCAGGGGTGGCCCAGTGAGTTCTCAAAACTGGAAGGTCAGTGTGTGTAACTGGATTAATTAATTCATTCATCCATTCACTCACTAAACAAATATTTACTAGGTGATGGATACTCTTCTAGGCACTGGAAATGAAGATCAAAGCAGAAAAAAAAACTCTGCCCTCAGAGTGTTTCCACTCCTGTAAGAAGAGATAGATAATAACAAAAACATGATAGGTAAAACCCATGATATGTTCAATTTTGAAAAGTGCTAAGGAAAAAAATAAAACAGGGAAAATAGGGATCAGGAAGAAGAGGACACTAATTTAGATAAGGTGGCCAGGGAAGGCCTAAGAAAGTGAACATTTGAGTAAAGGTCTAAAGGTGAAGGGTAAAGTATACTGATACCTGGTGGGGAAAGGATTCCAGACAAAGAGAACCTGAGGAGGGAGATTTGTGGCATATTGTGGAATAGCAACGAGGCTCTGGGGGGGGTCAAAAGAAATGCAGTAGATGAGGTCAGAGCACTAGGAGGGTGAGTAGCCCTATAGGCCACTATAAAGACTTTGGCCTTTGTTCTAAATGAAACAGGGATCCATCACTAGTTTTTTTGGAGAACGGTTACATGATTTGATGCTAACTTTAAATAGATTACTAGCTCTTGATGTAAACATAGATGGAAGGGGCCAGGCAGAAGCAGACAGAGCAATTAGGAGGTTTTTTTAATAATTTGGGTAAGAGTTGAAAGTGATTCAAAAAGGGCAGAGGCATATACACATGGTAATAGAAGAAAAGGATTAATGAAGAGTAAGTAAATGTTTACATACATAATTATTGAGGCACAGTCAGGTGAAATTTGGATTACAGAGCAAAGCAACAGAGTACGATTCCACAGCAGGCGCCTGGAGGCTGCAAACACACAGCTGTGAGGGCACTGAAACGTGCGCTTAGTCCTGACCCCAGCTCTAAACTTATCCTTCGCTAGTTCAGTATTCAGAGACACAGGCTTAGAAAAATACTGTAAACTAAAACTTATTAAGTGTATTTAGGGGTATGGGAGGGAATTCAGCATTTATCAATCACTTTCTAGATGGTAGCCAATTTTTAAAAATCATATTTCATTCTTATAACAATACTAAAGATAGGTATTATTTCTCATTTTATACACAAAGACACTACATTCAGAGAGGTTTTATGATTCAACTTATATCACAGCTATATCAAGTATCTATTAAGTATTAGAGGTAGGTCTGTCTGACTCCCAATATGATGGGTTTTTTCCCACTCTACTATATTTATAATCTATCATCTAACAAAAATTTAATTTTCCACATTATAAACTGCTTCTAATGTGGAAAAAGTATTTAGAATAAACTAAGCCAGAAGAAAATTTTTTCCCAGTTAAAAAGAAAAAAAATCTACAAAATTAGTTATTATTTTGTATTACTTATAGAAAATGATAGTCATTTAAATTTAAATCAAAGGTACAGGTATGTTTCCTCTTTTACCATCACCGCCAATTCTTTAAGATGAAACCAATAGCTTAATATTAGTAATGTTTCCTATAGATATGTAATGCCTATTCAACTACTTTGCAATTCCTACTTCACCTAACTCAAAAACTGTAAACTTGCTAGAAAACAAAATCGAACACAAAGCACTGGTGGTGGTGAGGTAAAAACACTGACTTACCTTCACCTGGAGCATGGGCTGAAATTCCCTCACAAGCTTCATTGAAGAGTCATATATGGAATTTCCAAGCTTTACTGACTCCAACAATGGGACAGGACGGAAGTCAGTGTGATAGAGCTCAGCATTCAACCAGGAAGCCACAAGCTCCAAATTAGGAAGAGTAGCACTCATGCCTACAATCTGCATGGCGTACGGTGGAGGACTGGCTAAATTGGCTTGGCTGTGAAGAATAAATGAAAACGATGTTAAAAGATAAATAGTATTAATTACCAATAGTACCACCAACAACATTCTTGGTCATGTCCTTTGGTACATCTATGCATACATTTCTTCAGGGCATATACCCAGGAGTGAAATTACTAGGTCATAGATGATCTTCAATTTTCTCAGATAATATTAAACTGTTTTCGAAAAAGACTACCAAAGTGTTAGCCATTTTAGAAAGAGTGGTAATACCTCATGGAAGAGGTGATTTGCATCCCCTCCACTGCTCATGAGATTAAGCACAGCTTCATGCTTATGGACCACTTAGATGCCCTCTTATCTGTCCAAGTTCCTTACCCATTGACATACTGGGTTCTGTTTTCTTCTTATTGATTTGTAGAATATTTTTAATGTTCTGAATAACGACTTTCCTTTTCATTAGATTTGTTTTTATCTTTGTTTCTTTCTTTTTACTTTCTGTGACATTATTTAACAATTCTTTTTCTAAGTTCTTGAGAGATGATTCATTAATTTTTCAGTCTCTCTTCTTTAATAATATATACATTTTATACTATCAATTTCCCTTTAAGAACACCTTTTGCTACATTTTACAAGTTCTTTTTTAAGATTTTATTCATTTATTTTTAGAGAGAGGGGAAAGGAGGAAGAGAGGGAGAGAATCATCAGTGTGTGGTTGCCTCTCATGTGGCCCTCACTGGGGACCTGGCCCACAACCCAGGCATGTGCCCTGACTGGGAATCGAACCAGCAACCCTTTGGTTCTCATCCCATGCTCAATCCACTGAGCTACATCAGCCAGGGCTTTTTTTTTTTTTTTTAAAGATTTTATTTCTTTATTTCCACAGAGAAGAGAAGGAAAGGGAAGGAGAAAGAGAGGAAACAAAACATCAATGTGTGATTGCCTCTTCCACACCCCATGCCGCAGAACTGGCCTGAAACCCAGGCCTGTGCCAGGAATTGAACCTATGACCCTTTGGTTCACAGTCTGGCACTCAATCCACTGAGCCACACCAGCCAGGGCTACAAGTTTTGTTAGGAGATATTTTTATTATACTTTCAGTTCAAACTATCTTCCAATTTCTGTTGTGGTTACTTTTTTGACTCAGAATGGGTCAAAATTTGTTTCTTAATTTCCAAACACATGGGCATTTTCTAATTATGCTTTTCTTATACATGTTTCTAGCTTAATTCCACTGTTGTTAGAAAATGTATTTTAAATAACTTAAGTCCTTTAAACTACATTGCTTTGTGGCCCAGCACACAGTAAAATTTTTTTGGAAATGTTCCATGTATAACTGAAAAAATATATATATTATGCTTGTATTTGGAAATTGTTCTACATTCATGCATTAAGGTCAAATTTGCTCATTGTATTCGTTATAGGCCTCCTGATTTTCAATACAGATGATTATCTACACGTTTTTTACATACTGCAAGAGATGTGTTAAAATCTCCCTAAACTAAGAGACAAGAGCTCCCAGATTGAAAGAATCTTTGAGTACCCAGCACATCAATGAAAATAAACCTAAACAAAAACACATCAATGTGAAATTTCATAATACTGAGGAAGCTCCTAAAAACTGTCAAAGAAAATAAAAATTATTTAAAAGATAAAGGATTAGCATGGCATTAGAATTCTCAATAGTTACAAGAAAATAAAGAAATGTCTTGAAAACTCTAAAGGAAAAAAATTTTTAACCTTCACTTTTATACCTGGACAATCTCTCAAATAATTAATTTTAAGGCATTTTCAGACATGCAAAGTTTTAAAAAATTTATACCCATAACAGCTTGTACACTGAAATAAAGTGAAAATTCCTGAAAGATGTTCCCATCAAAATGAGGAAGGAAATCAAGAAAGAGCCAGGAGATCCCAAAAGAGGGGACTCTGACTCACACAAAAAGCTACTGGAGTGAATGATGAGAAGAAAAGATCCCAAAAAAACTGATATGCAGCACATAATGTAAATTAACCACTTATCTAGATTGGAACAGCTCAGAAGGCTTTAAGAGAAACTTCTCCAAAAAGATGAATTTTGTAGAACAGCATATGTATTGGAACCTATTAGGTGGAGATTTACACAGTGGAGAGGCTGGGAATAAGCCAGTAACAAGAACATAGGAAAACAAAGCCTTCAAACAAAGAAGGTAAGTTAATTTCAGAGAATAAAATGTCACTTAGAAAGTAAAGGTAATCATCATATACTCCATGGCTCAGGTGACAGTGGCATTTATGTAGTCATAATGGTGTAACTGAACACTGATCTCAGCAGAATTATGACAACTACATTTGGCAAATGGGAAGATGATGAGAGAATGAAGAGAGATGGGGTGGGGAGAAAATGGGTGGGGTGAGTAAATAAATAAAAAAGAGCTAGATCTTCATTTTCCATAGTAAGAAGTCAACATATAATATTAAAACTAAAAACTCAAGTAGTTGCATTTAGAGATGCCGCTGTGAATAAAATGTTTATAAAGCTATAAAATTTGAAAGTAGTTACCTTTGCAAAGTATGGAATAAAAAAATGTTACTTTTCAAAATTAGCCTTGACTACCTAAGTAAGATGTGTGTGTACCGGGAAATAACAACAACAAAAAAAACTTGGATAATAATTCTATCATACTCTTAGTCTGAACTCCAGCACCTTGCAGTAGGAAGGTCACCCAGTGGGCCTGTGGGCCAGGGTGGGGCTGGGCTCACCACCTCCAACTCCCCTCCCTGCAGAGCTTTGCCACTGAGGAGCTCTTCTGCTCCTGGAGAACAGACCAGAGGGGTACAGCAGCCTTTGGTGACCCAGGGCGGGGGTGGGCATGACTCTGCCATCCCAAGTTGTACAAGGCACAGAAAAATAATAACTATTATTATTATTCTATCATAAAAGTGGTAAGCAGTCAGAAATTTAGGAATGCTTACAAAATAATCTAAAATACTTCTCAAGTTTTAAGTGGTTGTTTTGGAACAAAAATGAACTACTGTATGTGAATTTATGCTAAAAAATACTACTCCCCTTTAATTTATGTGGTTCATATGTATTATTCACTTTTTTTATTGATTGATTTGAGAGAGAGAGAGGAAAAGAGGAGAGAGTGACAAGCATTGATTTGTTGTTCCACTTATTTATGCATTCATCGGTTGCTTCTTGTACGTGCCCTGACCAGGAATTGAACCTGCAACCTTGACACATCAGGAAGATGCACTAACTAACTGAGCTACCCAGCCAGGGACTCACTTTTGTAGATTATTTTGCAACACTGTTCAGAATCTCAGGAGTGTAGTTATTTCATGTACTCACCAAGATACTGACTTCTGAGTAATGTAACAAATCTTGGTCAGCAAGAGTTCCAGCAGATACCCTCGGTGAGAGTCTCCCAGCATGTGCAGTTCATCCACAACCACAATTCCTAAAGAGATTTTCCAGATACTAGCTTTTACAGAATTTCACAAATCCAAAAAGAATTTTAAGGACTCAGTATCTTATATCTTAAACAATCATTAGCTATCATTAAAATATATAGTAAGCCATGCAAATTTCTAATCATAGAACAAAAAGCAGATTCCACATAATGGACAATTCTTTTCCAAGATATTTCAGATAACATAGTGATCCTACTACAATGTATTCTGGATCTAAAAATCAACGACTAGCTAAAGTCAGGGCTATTTCAGGGAAAACGCCTCTGATTACTTAAACATTAATTGATAACCTTGTAGAAGTATAATTACAATAAGATATCAAAAGCATGACAGTTATTCAGTATACTAACTTTTCTATGGGAAAAACAACCAGGGCAACCATACTGTTGTTAGAAATACGCTAAGAAAAACAGAATCAGATCAAGATGAAAGAAATTATTTTAAGGGACATTTCTTTTTTATTATGATAGGTTAGGGAGTCACCCTACTACAAAGCATAAGTATGATCACAATACTCTTCTGCGGTGCTTGGAGAATCAAATCAGTCTATGTACTTGAAACAATGCTAAGAATTACTAAAAATTTAGTATCAACCAATGCCTTCCTCAGTTAAATGTTTTCATAACATCATAATTTCCACATGCACTGGTGTCTACCCAACAAATTCTTCCCATCAAAATCAAGATCTTTTAAAGGACTTTGTTCAAGATGATGGCTTAGGTAAACATGGCTCGCCTCCTTGAACAACCACATCAAAATTACAACTAGAATATAGAATATGTATATTACACTCAAAACTGTCAGAAGTCAAGTTGAATGGAAGTCTTGACAATGATGGAATTAAAGAAACCACATCCATCCAGACTGGCAGGAGGGGCAGAGATGCAGAAAGGGTTGATCCCACATCCACCTGTGCTGGATTAAAATTTGGGAGGGATATCTCATCAGTGAGGAGTGCCACCACACCAGGCACCTCAACCCAGGGTCCCAGTGCTAGGAAGATAAGCCCCCATAATTTCTGACTACAGAAAAAACAGTGGGTATTGAGTCAGAGGAAAAAACTTCTGGAGTCCCAAGTAGCTCCTCTTAAAGAACCCACCTATGGACTTACTCAGACACTCCCTCTGAGCTCCAGAACTGGGGTACCAGCTTGCAAAGCACCAGTGGCATACTGGGAGAAACTGAAGTGTCTGGCATCAAGGTGAGCAGAGGAAATTGTCTCTTTTCTGAATCCTCCCCCAACAGAGCCACAGAACCAGCAGGTGGGTGCCATATCTGAGATTCCATCAACCTGGCTAACACTATTTGCCCTGCCCTGGAGATCCACCCTGCCCTAGAGGCTCCATTCCATGCAATTCATAGCTGTTAACAGTGGCTCTTCCATATGAATTGCTGCTCTTGGCTCATGCTTTGAAAATTCTTAAATCCTTTCAAATAAGCAACAGCTGGCCTCCAGTGAGCTCACAACCCCAGTACCTCTTGCTAAGTGGCTCCGGGCCCAACACCAGCAGTAACCAGCCTAGATTCACAGCTTGGCTTTGCCCAGGAATTGCCAAGCTCAGCACAAATTGCTATATAGTTCAGGCAGTGTAGCCCTGGGGAAAAACACAGGTGGGGGCTGACCTTGACCTGCACCACCTGGGAAACCCCAGGGCCAGCCCACCCAGTGAATAGCTACAAACCACAATGGAGAACCAACACCCTGCCCCTGCACAACTGATTCCCCACAGAGGGTAGCGTTTGGTGGTCAGTGGTAAAAGACATTCCTTGCAGCTGACTGGCCTGGGTAAATCCCTCCCATAGATCTGCCAACAGCAACCAAGGTCAACTACAAGAGGAAGGTGTACTCAGCCCACACAAAGGGCACACCTGGAGTCCCCAGCTTGGGTGTTAGGAGAGGCTGTGCCACTGGACCCTACAGGACACCTACTACATTAGGCCACACTACCAAGATATGCAGTCAAAGCAGCTCTACCTAATGCATAGAAACAAACACAGGGAGGCTGCCAAAAATGAGGAGACAAAAAACATGGCCCAAATGAAAGAACAGATCAAAACTCCAGAAAAAGAGCTAAATGAAATGGAGAAAAGCAATTTATCAGATGCAGAGTTCAAACCACTGGTTAAAAGGGTGCTCAAGGAACTTAGTGAGGACCTCAGCAGCATAAAAAGATGCAGTCAGAAACAAAGGACACACTACTTGAAATAAAAAACCCTTTATAGGGAAACAACAATAGAGTGAATAAAGCTGGTAATCAAATCAATAGTTTCGAACATAAGGAAGAAAAAACAACAAGTCAGAAAAAGAAAACAAAGAATCCAAAAAAAAAAAAAAGGAGAGGACAGTGTAAGCAGCCTCTGGGACAACTTCAAGCACTACAACATTCACATCACAGGGGTACTAGAAGGAGAAGAGAGAGAGCAAGAAATTGGAAATCTATTTGAAAAAATAATGACAGAAAACTTCCCTAATTTGGCAAAGGAAACAGACATGCAAGTCCAGGAAGCACAGAGAGTCCCAAACAAGATGGATGCAAAGAGGCCCACCCCAAGACACATCATAATTACAATCCCAAAGGTTAAAGATAAGGAGAGAATCTTAAAAGCCGCAAGAGAAAAGCAGTTAGTTATATACAGGGATGTTCCCATAAGACTGTCAGCTGATTTCTCAAAAGAAATGTTGCAGGCAAGGAGGGATTGGCAAGAAATAGTCAAAGTAATGAAAAGCAGGGACCTACAGCCAAGACTGCTCTATCCAGCAAAGATATCATTTAGAATCAAAGGGCAGCTCAAGAGCTTCCCAGACAAGAAAGAACTAAAAGAGTTCATCATCACCAAACCTTTCTTATATGCAATGTTAAAGGGACTTATTTAAGAAAAAGAACCAGACCAAAACTATAAACAAAAAATGGCAATAAATAAATATCAGCAATTGAATCTAAAAAACAAACTAAGCAAACAGGAACAACAGAGACAGAATCATGGATACAGAGACCATATTGATGGCTGCCTGATGGGAGGGGGGAGTGTGGGAATGGGCAACAAGGTGAGGGAATTAAGAAGTACAAATAGATAGTTACAGAGTAGCTATGGGGATGTTAAGTACAGAATAGGAAATGGAGTAGCCAAAGAACTTATATGCATGACCCATGGACATGAACAATGGTGTGGGGATTGCCCGAGGGAGAAAGGGGTGCTGGGTGGAAGGGGGCAAAGGGGGAAAAATTGGGACTACTGTAATAGCATAAATAATAAATTATAATTTTTTAAAAATCAAGATCTTTTAGACTATTTCCTGACACATGGCACTCCTTTTTCTCATCAGTAAGATATCTCCAAATTATATGGTTTGATGAGTTATTTTAGTACTTATTCACTCATTCATCCAAAAATATTTATTCTACCTAGTATGGCAGGCACTGTGCTAGGTATATTGTATATAACACTTAATAAGATTCTATTGCAATCCTCAAGATATTTAAAGCCCAATGGGGTGACAAGAAATGACAATTCTGACACAAATTGGTAGATGAGATTTCTCTCTCCAAGCCTTATAGAGCAGAGCACATGTCCCTGATTTCTGATTTCCCCACTGCTACCCTACTGCAACTTTATCATTTAAGTTCACCAGGATCTCAATTAGTAGCTAACTGATATTCTTGCGGTACTATTGCTGCTACAACCATTTTCTTCTTTTTGGCACCTCAACATAGGGGCCTTTCCTAAGTGGGGGGAAAAAGCATTAAGGTAGAAAATCTTCCTAGAGTCCCAAGTTCAAATAAAGTGTTAATTTCTGTAGCTCCCTACCATTTCCCTGCTAAAAGGTAGCCCCTGGGCACAGGTCCATTCTAGATATCATAGCACCAAAATATAAGGAATACACATATACACTAATTGCAGAGATGGCAGATCCAGCCTCAGCTTGCTTCCTTCTATTCCAGATAAAGTTCAGACAGGAAAGAAGCAATGAGAAATGACTTGAGGGTCCGAGGATATCCTCTGTGTTTTGTAAAAGGTAAAAATACAAGGAAGCAGAATCAATAACAGCAGAACACAAAAATTTTCCCTACAGACACAGAGTTCCTAACAGTACAGATGTCAACACCCACTCCAGAAACAGGTGACAAACTATAGAAGAAAACATGGGACATGTAGAAATCACAACAGCTCTACTCCATTCCATCAAAAAAATAGCAACAGGAAATATTTTCTCACCTAACAGATCCATCTTATTTTCTTCTATGAGACGATTGATCAGACCATTGGCTCTCTCAATTGTGCAGACAGCAACATCCAAGGAATTGAAACGCCATTTTGGAGAGGTACTGCCCATATAACCATCTACTTTTATTCCTACTTCCTGGAACAGACTCTGAATTGAGTAGGAAAGAACAATACTGGTGAAAACATTTGATATTCATGAATTGTAAATTGGTTCTATCCCAGAACATAGACATAAGTTTCTAACATAAATAATTATCAGATTACTGTTAGTCATTCCTGGACAGGACACACTGGTTCTTTCTAGAATCATATACTACTAAAAAAAAATAAATAAAGCTTAAAATTGAAAGAACTTAGTACAGAATCATATAAAATTAACTATGCCATTTAATGACAGCATTATCTAATCATAGTTCTAAGAGCTGTTTATAGAAATTAAAATTGGAGAAAACTACCACAAGCACTAATACTTCTAATCTAACAAAAGAAAACAGACACTAGCTTTCTTTAATGCTAATGTCACACTTTAAAAAACAAATTTTTACTTCATGAGGAAATTATCTCATTATCCCACTAAGTTTTACATAATTGAAAAGTTTTCAAAATTCAAATGCAGTGAGACTTTGATATGAACTTTTTTTTTTTAGTTTAACTTTTAACTAACATACCTTCTCAATAAAAAGGATCCTTTCATCATTTTGTTACTTTGGTCTAAGTTTAGAGGATATTACCATGGCCTCCAGGTTTGGCCTCTGAAATAACTGTTGAAAAGATTTACAGAACCATAGAACTTTAGAACTTTTCATTCAGTAAAATACTTCTGTGTGTCTGCTGAGTTAACCCACAGTACTAGGGTTAACATCCTTACTTGACCAAAGAAAAAAACTGAGGCCCAGCAAATTATGTGCCTGGCCTGAAGACATAGTGGGTAGCAAAGCTGGGACTAGAACCCAGATTTTTTTGGACTACCAGTACAACAATCTTGCCATCCAACAGCACATTTTTCACTGCAGAAATCACAGTAATAAATTTATTCTATTTAATGGAACTTCATATTTGTAAAAATGCCTTAAAAACCTGGGAGCATCATACAAATGAAAAATGTTTTTCATTTTTGCAGAACAGAGGAATTGACCACGGGCCTAGAGCTCTTCATACGCACTAATGGCTCTTGTTCTTCATCCCTGACGTGTTCCCAAACAGCCCTCAGTTAGGACAGGACACGCTTCCTGAAACACTCTTTTCTTTCCATGCTCAGTATAGTCCTACTCTTCATTTAAATACTGATTCTTAATTTGCACATTTATATAGCAGAAGTATTCTATTTACTTCCTCAAGAATAGTTCATCAATTTCAACACACTGTTCACCAATTACTTTTCTAATTTGATGGCCCTTTCTCCTTCATGCAATAATACAAAAGTTTCCCTTCATAGATGGTCAACACTTAAAGCTACATTGAGATGTAAATCTGACCTGCTTTTATAATTGTTTCATATGAGTAAAGCTACGGCTGCTAATAACAGGCTTTATCACAATTCCAAAATTAGTTTAAGAACATTACCTGGAGATAGTATTTCTTCTCTTTAGCCACAGAGACAAAGGGCAGAATAAACAAAGCTTTCTTCCGCATTTCCAAAACACGCTTCAAAATAAGTAATTCAGCAACAAGAGTCTTTCCGGCACTTGTAGGAGCTGAAACATATTATTCCACAAGGTTCACAAAAAGAAATAATACTTGATATACTGCATTAATGAATGTTCTAAACCATATCCAGTAACTACAGAACCTAAAACTATCATATCATTAAGGCCCAAAAGTATTTGAAACATTTATACCCTTAAATGCCCAACTTCATTTTTTTCTTTTTATTTCTTTCCTTTTTAATTTTTTTTTTTTTGGTGATTTTAGAGAGAGAGAAACCTTGATTTGTTGGTCCACTTATCTATGCATTCATGGTTGGTTCTTGTATGTGCCCTGATGGGGGATGGAACATGCAACCTTGGCATATTAGGCAATGCTTTAACCAACTCAACTACCTGGCCAGGGCCAAATGCCCCAACTTTAAACCAGCTCTCTAGCTGGATGATAGCTAGTGGGCAGTGGGGGTGTGGGGAGGGTGGGTAGAGGAATTGAGAAAACAGGAAAAAGGACTCATGGACATGGACAACACTGGTAGAGTGGAGTATAAGGAGACTAAATGGTAATGGAAAAAATACAATAAAGATTAAATGAATAAAAAAAAGAAGCTAGCTCTCTGAAGTCTCACACTGAAAATAGGGAATTATTAGACAAATCTTTTTATCAACAATAAATGACAAATATCATTGATTACCTAGCTTGTACTTGAAGATCCTTTCCTTTCAGTACTAAATGGCTAAAAGCCCTTCTTTGAGGACACAGATGAATAACTTTATTATATTGTAATAGGAGCTATGATGTAAGTTAAGGGAGAGGAGCCATAAGGAAGTTTATGGAAATGAAACAGAAGTTATGAGAAGGAAGAAGGAAGGGAACAGGCAAGCAATGCCAAGCAAAAGAAACAGTATGTTCAACACCTGGAAGAAAGCCTGGTGTGTTCAGATGGCAGGTAAGTTATTTAGAAAGCCTAAAATATAAAACAAGTAGGGGAGTGCAAAAAAAAGATATGAATGTGCCACATAAAAAAGAGTTTATAAACCCATCATGTAAGGAATTTAGAATTTATACTGAAAGCAATTCAGAGCGACAAGTAAGTTTTATGAGAAGGAGTGACAAGATCATATTTGTACTTTATAAAGATCACTTTGACTGCTGGAGCAGAACAGAAGGAGAGAGAAAAAATAAACTAGTTATAAGGCTATTGCATAATCAAGAAAAAAGATAATAATGAGCATAATCTAGAAGAGATAGTAATCTAGATTGCATAATCTAGAAGAAAGATAGTAAACTAGGTAATGGACCTAGAAACAGAGAGCAGTAACCAGAATCAAGATACTGGAAGTTACAGACACTGGACTTGGTGATTGACAACAATTGGTGACTGGAGTTATAAATGACACTCAAATTTTGGTTAAAGTATTTGAAATGGTCAGACCATTCTACCACTACCACTAATTACCACAAGTTAGCATTTTCTGTATACTTTCTTCTTCTTCTCTTCCTTTTTATTGAATTTATTGGGGTGACATTGGTGAATAAAATTATATAGGCTTCCCGTGTACAGTTTTATGATACATCATTTGTATAACAACATGTAGATATTCACCACCCCACGTCAAGTTTCCTTCCTATATACCTGAAACGGTTCTAAATGCTCACTCATGCTCTCTCTCTAGCAATATGCAAGCTTACACAGCCAATACACGGTATGGACAGTTTTCAAACCCAAACAGTCTGACTCTACAGCCTGAGCTCATACCTACTGATAAGTGTCTATTTTTTGCATCCATAACAAAAAATCTGGAGGACTCACAATTTCAGAGAAAACTGACACAAAAGAAGGTCATCTTACCAATTAATTAGTTTCTAACATCAGTAGAATTTAAAAAGTTTAAAAGTATGCTTGTCAGAGTTGCCCTTGAAAGCCCATATAAATTTCTTATAAAGTATATTACATACGGTTTTATGTATTCAATCCTATACAAGCAGGTCAGTTTATAAACATACAATTTATAATGTCCACACACTGAAGAGCAACTGAAACAGATTGAAGGAAGAGCAGATTTACATCTCCCATTGCACACTCACTCTGGGACATATGTTTGTTGAGGAGAATGGCAAATGGAATAGTTCTCTTTGTGTGCTTTTCTTCCCTTCCCCCCACCCAGACATATAATGGATTGTGCATAATTTAAATATGCTTATTATAATGAGACTCCACTTTTCATATATATTTTTAAGACTTTCTCTAATTGTCAAGCACTGTCTCAACCAGCTTTAAAAAATCAAAACTACCTCAATAGAGAATTATTTACATTAATAATATCTTTAAAATAGAGAAATTAATTTGCACAAATTTGAATACCTGAATAAACTAAATTCTTTCCTTCCAGGACTTGTCCAAGCAAAAGACATTCTGCTTGCCATTTAAACATCTTTCTTACACCAAAACTGTGATATGTCTCCAGAACCACTGTAGGAAGTCCCCAATTTGCCAATAGCAGCTTGTCTGTTTGATCGTTGGGATCGGTTTGCTTGCATTCCCCTTTCAGGAAAAAAGAAAAAAATATATTAGTTGAATTTAATTTAAAGATGACTTCAGTAGGTAAGCCTCCACTGTATTTTGGAATTCCTCTGTGTTGGAATGAGGCTACATAAAGCACACCTGACATAAAGCACGACCAGGTTAAGGATCTGTGGAGTACTGGGCACTATTATGCGTCGCGTTTTGGCCAACTAGGAAGCTGTTTCTTAAAGACCCAGAAACCATTTGTAGGCTACTATCAGGCAGTCGCTAAACATAAGCTGGAAGCAAGTTCGTGTGTGAACAGAAAGTGACCTGCTGCACCAGGCCCGAGTCACAAACTGAGAAAGGGACTAGAAACCGACCGAGCAGGTCGTGCAAACAAGCAAGCTCCTCGCGACGAGGACATCTTCCTATCTGCACACCTCGCTAGCTGTCCCCAAAGTGCCTGGGAATACCTGCTGGACTGCGGCTGCCGTCCCTCAAGCTGCGTCCTAGGCCGGGGGGCGGGCTCAGCACAGGCTCGGAGGGGCGCAGGTGGCTGTCACGGCTGTCACAGCTGTCACTGCTGTCACTGCTGTCACCGCTGCTTCCCAAGAAGGAATCCGAGCCTGATGTTGAACGCCGCCGTTTCCCTCTCCAGCGCGAAAGATTCATCGCGAACTCTTCTCGGCTGTTCAGGGACAGCCACAGTTCCAGCGTCCTCCCGTTTGGGAGAAACCCGGCGCTGGGGCAGGTGTGGCCGTCATCTTCCCGCCAAGGCCTTCAAACTTGGGCCTCCCAGCCCAGCCGGAACCATAGAGTTCTCAGTGATGACAGTAACCTGAGAACCATAGAATCGTGGGGAAAGAGCGGCTCTCGCCGGTGTCTTAGACCTCCAACTTGCGTGGTTGGTTAGTGTGAGAGAACCAATCTTAGACCTAGGTTAAAAGAGGTAGGGAAAAAGACTTTGCGTATATAATCTGCATTTATAATCAGACCGGCCTAAAAATTTTCTTTTTGTCCACTTCTTGTTTGAATAGTAAGATTTGCTAAGCTCATAAATGAGCTGCCCAGAATAGGTAGATCAGGGAAGTCTTCTCAACACATTGGTATATTCAAAAAATCATTACACATTATGTGTGCAAAACATACGAGTGAAACCTAAGATTTCTAAAGGAGTACAATCTGCTCCTCTCTCCTAGCATAGGCTATGTTTATTTACACAATGTCCACGTTGGCCATCACACACTGTGAGTACTAAGTGATGGATAGTTGGGGACTGCTGGCAGATGGACCTCTTAGATGGTTGTATGAATGCTTCAAGGAAGGAACCCTGGATGTATCTGAGTATCATTGTGAACCAATAGCTTATTAATGGACCTGCGTTCCACATATCGGCAAAGTAGAATCAAACGAGCTCTGGACGTAAGCTGCTGCTGGTTAATTACCTAGTTACACAATCCCCTTCACCAAGCAAATCTAGTAGGTGAAAGGCCTACCTTGAAGAGGCTGTGTTAAAAACCTCAAAAGGACCAGTCCAATAAAAAAGACTAATAGAAGTCTGGGAAATAGCACTTGAGTGTCAATAATCTTGTGAAAACCTACCCTTTTTTTTTTTTCAATTTTTTTTGAACAATATTCTGAATTTCCACAAGATGGGGATATTACTCTATAAAGGAAACGTTTTCCCCAGTTATTAGTATGCATTCACTCACTGAACTCTCGACCTTTCATTGTGCTCGGGACGCTGGGCATATAGCAGGCAAATGACATGAAATGGCTCCTACTGTCAAGGAGAAAGAACCTAGAGGAGACGGACATTAAACTAGTTAATTAGCTAATTAATTCCTTTAAATTATACTAATGCTCAGGCAGAAATGAACAGAATGCTGTCCAAGAAATAAAAGGGATCTGCCCTGGCTGGCGTAGCTCAGTGGATTGAGCGCGGGCTGCCAACCAAAGTGTCGCAGGTTCGATTCCCAGTCAGGGTACATGCCTGGGTTGCAGGCCATGACCCCCAGCAACCGCACATTGATGTTTCTCTCTCTCTCACTCTCTCTCCCTCCCTTCCCTCTCTAAAAATAAATAAGTAAAATCTTTTAAAAAATCATAAGAAAAAGAAACAAAAGGGATCCTAATTTAGATTGTAATCAGAGAAAAACTTTCTTAAAAGCAGTTTAGCATGGGGTCAGTGCAACTCTGTAGCCAATCAGTTCAAGTTTAAAGACTTAATAGGTGTGTGATCTTGAGCATTTGCTTAACTCCTTTGTGCTTCGTTTTCTTCACCTATACAATGGGGATCATAATAGTAACAACCTATTTGGTTATTGTGAGGTCTAAATAAGTCAGTATGTGTAAAGTGTTTAGAACCATATTCTTCACACAATAAGTACTATTCAAAGAAAATATTTAAATGTTCTAGTAGTGCTCCCAATATAAATCCAACATTTTGATGGGAAAAGAATAAACCAAAGAAGTTTTTCATATTATACTGTTTTTATTTTGTCAACTATGATCAAGTAAGGAAAATAATTAGGAAGGGATTGCAAATAGTGTTTTATGTCATCCTATAAAAAGCCTAAAGAATATTTTATAACTTACAATTTATTTCAAACTTTAAACACCTGTTTCTATTTTTATTAACCCTTAGAGAAGTATACTTTTCAAAAATACTAAAGAATTCTTATATTAATAGCTACTGTAATAATTAATACTAATGCAGCAGAAGTATTTCCCAGCTGTCTTTTGTGTCTGAATATATGTGCACATATTTTCCACCAGTGTGACCTGGAAGAGGTACCAGTTTTGAACTGCTTTAAACTTAATTTCTGGGTTAACTTTTTTTTTTAAAGATATATAAGTATAGAATAATTGAGACACACAGAGCCAGCTTTGTACAGGCTTCCAGCCTCACCATCTCAATCTGCAGAACAGTATTTCTCTGTTTTATTTACTGAGGGAGTTGCCCTTCTTGGGTTTTGGGGATTTTTGATCTTACCTTTCATCCAGTTAGGAAAACCAGACTGCTGTCTTCCAGAATTCATAATTCATTAAAAGCCACACTCTAGACCACCAGGGGTCAGCAGAGATCACTATAGAAAACTTTGGCTCTAATGCAGGGGTGTCGAACTCATTTTCACCTGGGGCCATATCAGTCTTACAGTTGCCTTCAAAGGGCCAAATGTAATTTTAGGACTGCATAAATGTAACTATTCATTAACTGTTAAGGAGTTGAAATTATATTCAGCCCTTTGAAGGCAACTGCGAGGCTGATGTGGCCCCTGGTGAAAATGAGTTTGACACCCCTGAAAAGAATAAGGCAGACTTGAATTCAGATTGGCTTCACTGACAAAATTTAAAATAAGAGGCTTAAATTAACAAAGAGCTCTGGAAAGGACCTATTTCTTCACAATGACCCAACAAACTAGTTGAAATGGCTGACTTATGGATGGGGATGGAAGCAAAATTGAAATAACTTCAAAAGTCTAGGTTAAAGCATCAGAAAGCTAACTTAAAGGTGGAAAACTAAACAATGAATGCCTGAGAGAGACTAAGCTAATTAAATATGTACGAACACACACTTGTAACTTCCAAATTTATATAAAGGTTTGTTTCCCCACTTTTCACATGGTAATACTGCCTATTGCCTGTGTGGTAAACACTAGGCAGATACAATGGAAAAGACAGATGAGCAGTAAGCCTGGGAATCCTAAATATGCGGTTTTTAGAATAGATATAGCCTTTGATTAGATGGAGAAGAAATGAGTACTCCGCCTAGGGAAAGGTTATCAAAAGGAGCCGGGTGGAACCCCATTCTATTTGCTTGGGGTCAAATCACATCAAAGCAATCACTCCAAGTCTTCCATTTAGGTCTTTGAGTGTAAAGATTTTACATCAGCCCTTAGTGATTCAAAGAATTTCTCTAGGTGTTACTTTTTTTTTTCTTTGATACCCTCAACCCCACCCCTTTATTATCTAGACAAAATCTTCCCCAAATCAGCAGCAACAAATGAAAAATGGGACAGGATTTGCTGTAGCCAGTTGTTAGGGTAGACAGACAGGCCACAAGGCCTGGTCAGGGATGAATTTTTGTTCCTGTCTTCTTTTTGCATTTCACCATTACCTCTTTCCCTAATTCTCTCCTCATTCTCATGTATTCACTTTCCTCTCCTTCCCTTTCTGTTTACATTTAATCACTACTAAGACAGTATACTCTTATGTATAATAGAATGCAAAATTTTACTTTTAATAGACTCAGATCCTCCATAGAAAAAATTATTATGGTAAAGGAAACCTTACATTTAACTAGTTTTTATGTTAATAAAATGGCCTTTAAAGTGACTCATAGGTGTTCTTCAGTGTGACTTTTAATATATATTAGACAATCTTCTGAGAATGAATTGGTATATAAATACATCTAAAAATTCTATCTTTTTCCTTTTTAAAGTGGGACCAATTTACAAAGACCACATCTTCACTGCCTATTTTGACAGCATGCATGTCCTGGGTTATGTCAGTGACAACCTGAAGGACAAGGACACACAGATCCTCCTCTCCTATATCACCTCACCTACAAGGGCAAAGCAAGAATGTTTCTTAGTTCAGCAAGCCATGGGCATCTCATCATCTGCATTACAAGCCATGGAATTTGGCTTTTATTCTTTAGATATTGGAAAAGCACTGAAGGGCAAGAAAAAAATATGTACTGGTTTGGCCAAAAAGTTCTTTTAGTTTTTTCCCTACAATGGCTCTAGTTGTGCTTAGTTGTCTTTAACTTCATTCGAAACAATTTTGTACGATTGTATTGTGACAGCTGTCATAGCAGCATGCATTTATAAAAAACTTATCAAAATTGGTGAATTTTTGTGCAGCCAAATTGAAGATGGAAGAAAATACACATTACTTTTGGTATATTATTCTTTATCATTTCAAGAAAGGTAAAAAATGCAACTGAAATGCAATAAAAGATTTGTGTAGTTTATGGAGAAGGCACTGTGACTGATTGAACATGTCAAAAATGGTTTATGAAGTTCCTCGGTACTACTGACATTTTGGGCAAATAATTCTTTGCTGTGGGGCTGTCATATGCATTGGAAGATATTTAGCAGCACCACTGGCCTCTATCTGCTGGAAGGCAATAGCAGGAGACAGCCAACATACTCAGAACATCCAAATCAATAAAGTTATTGGTGAAAATGAAAAGTTTCTTTGATTGTACAGAAAAATCTAAACGGACTTTTTGGCCAACCCAATATCAATTACGTGAAAGGATGTCCTAGGTCTTGTATGGAGAAAAAAGTGATGTAAAGGAGCAAAAGCAGAACAAAGGAAATGAGTTATAAAACTACTGCTATCCTCCATTAAATAAATATTGGTGGCTTTTTGGTAACAATGAAAATGATGAAAATGATCAGGTTGTGTATCTGATAGTGTATTGTTTCAGATTGTGTATTGAAAGTAGGTTGCTTACAGATTCAATGTAGGGTGCAAGGGAAAGAGAGAGGTCAGGGGTAATTTTTTAAAAAACTGAAAGCTCTTTGGCACAATTCAGCTGACCATTGCATTTCAATTTATGTCTGCCTAGCTGTTAGGTTGTACATTAATTTGTTTCTATTAATACATTTCTGTGCCTACATGAGCCAAGAAAGTAACATAAATGAGTAAAGTGGTGAATGGGGATGGTGAAAAACCAGGTGTTATTTTTTTTTTAATTTGGAAATTGCATGTGGCAAAGACCAACAATAGTTGACCCCTAATACTTACATCTTCTTGCATAGTAACAA